AAGCTCTGAGGAATTAAAAGATTTAAAAGAATTAAATATTTAAATCTTTGAAATCTTTTAAATCTTTTAAATCTTTTAATTCTTTTAAATATTTTCAATCCCCAAAGGACGTGAGATTCAGGGGACCTCTTGGGATTTAAATCTTTTAAATCTTTTAAAGCTCTGGAGAATTAAAAGATTTAAAAGAATTAAATATTTAAATCTTTTAAATCTTTTAAAGCTCTGGGGAATTAAAAGATTTAAAAGAATTAAATATTTAAATCTTTTAAATCTTTTAAAGCTCCGAGGAATTAAAAGATTTAAAAGAATTAAATATTTAAATCGTTTAAATCTTTTAAAGCTCTGAGGAATTAAAAGATTTAAAAGAATTAAATATTTAAATCTTTTAAATCTTTTAATTCTTTTAAATATTTTAAATCCCCAAAGGACGTGAGATTCTGGGGACCTCTTGGGATTTAAATCTTTTAAAGCTCTGGGGAATTAAAAGATTTAAAAGAATTAAATATTTAAATCTTTTAAATCTTTTAAAGCTCTGAGGAATTAAAAGATTTAAAAGAATTAGATATTTAAATCTTTTAAATCTTTTAAATCTTTTAATTCTTTTGAATATTTTAAATCCCCAAAGGACGTGAGATTCTGGGGACCTCTTGGGATTTAAATCTTTTACATCTTTTAAAGCTCTGGTGAATTTAAAGATTTAAAAGAATTAAATATTTAAATCTTTTAAATCTTTTAAAGCTCTGGGGAATTAAAAGATTTAAAAGATTTAAATAGTGAGCTGACCCTATTGTTGGAGGATTCCTGGAGACTTCAAAGATTTAAAAGAATTAAAAGATCTAAAAGAATTAAAAGATTTAAAAGAATTAAATATTTAAATCTTTTAAATCTTTTAAAGCTCTGGGGAATTAAAAGATTTAAAAGAATTAACTATTTAAATCTTTTAAATCTTTTAAAGCTCTGAGGAAATAAAAGATTTAAAAGAATTAAATATTTAAATCTTTTAAATCTTTTAAAGCTCTGAGGAATTAAAAGATTTAAAAGAATTAAATATTTAAATCTTTTAAATCTTTTAAAGCTCTGGGGAATTAAAAGATTTAAAATAATTAAATATTTAAATCTTTTAAATCGTTTAAAGCTCTGAGGAATTAAAAGATTTAAAAGAATTAAATATTTAAATCTTTTAAATCTTTTGAATCTTTTAAATCTTTTAATTCTTTTAAATATTTTAAATCCCCAAAGGACGTGAGATTCTGGGGACCTCTTGGGATTTAAATCTTTTAAATCTTTTAAAGCTCTGGGGAATTAAAAGATTTAAAAGAATTAAATATTTAAATCTTTTAAATCTTTTAAATCTCTGGTGAATTAAAAGATTTAAAAGATTTAAATCGTGAGCTGACCCTATTGTTGGAGGATTCCTAGAGACTTCAAAGATTTAAAAGATTTAAAAGAATTAAAAGATTTAAAAGAATTAACTATTTAAATCTTTTAAATCTTTTAAAGCTCTGAGGAAATAAAAGATTTAAAAGAATTAAATATTTAAATCTTTTAAATCTTTTAAAGCTCTGAGGAATTAAAAGATTTAAAAGAATTAAATATTTAAATCTTTTAAATCTTTTAAAGCTCTGGGGAATTAAAAGATTTAAAAGAATTAAATCTTTTAAATCTTTTAAATCTTTTAAAGCTCTGGGGAATTAAAAGATTTAAAAGAATTAAATATTTAAATCGTTTAAAGTCTTTTAAAGCTCTGAGGAATTAAAAGATTTAAAAGAATTAAATATTTAAATCTTTTAAATCTTTTAAATCTTTTAATTCTTTTAAATATTTTAAATCCCCAAAGGACGTGAGATTCTGGGGACCTCTTGGGATTTAAATCTTTTAAATCTTTTAAAGCTCTGGAGAATTAAAAGATTTAAAAGAATTAAATATTTAAATCTTTTAAATCTTTTAAAGCTCTGAGGAATTAAAAGATTTAAAAGAATTAAATATTTAAATCTTTTAAATCTTTTAAAGCTCTGAGGAATTAAAAGATTTAAAAGAATTAAATATTCAAATCTTTTAAATCTTTTAAATCTTTTAATTCTTTTAAATATTTTAAATCACCAAAGGACGTGAGATTCTGGGGACCTCTTGGGACTTAAATCTTTTAAATCTTTTAAAGCTCTGGGGAATTAAAAGATTTAAAAGAATTAAATATTTAAATCTTTTAAATCTTTTAAAGCTCTGGGGAATTAAAAGATTTAAAAGAATTACATATTTAAATCTGTCAAATCTTTTAATTATTTCAATTCTTTTTATTCTTGTAAATCTTTTAAATCTATGAAGTCTCGAGCAGCCAGCATATGCATAATATGACCTAAAGGTCCCTCATACATATATATATATATATTATACTACATCTGGGGTGTGGTTTCAACCCGTTTTGAGAATATGAAATTCGATGCCGTTCGTTGGTCTAGTCCATAGGCTGCAACGGTGAGACCACTGACTTCCAAAACTCCAGTAGCTGTTGGGTTTAACCTTTGGTAAACATACAAAAAGCTATTGAAAATTGCCATTTATAGTGGATTTACCCATTAAGAATGGTCCATAGTTTTTTGTATGTTTACCAGAGGGTATAGCCTATATCGATCTAGTTTTCATGTAAACCAACAAACATAAGTGGTGGGCACCACTTTGTATGATTATGACACAATCACCAGCCCACTCTTGCATGGGATTCCACAATCTTTCCATTCGAAAACCGGCAGAGCAACCCACCAAGATTCCCACTAGATGTTACACTTGATAGTCCATTAGACACTGGTAGATTTATGACTAATATTATATAATTATATATATTGGTTGGTGGTTTCAACCCCTCTGAAAAATATTAGTCAATGGGAAGGATTATCCCATGTATTATGGAAAATAAAAAATGTTCCAAACCACCAACCAGTTATAATTCTATAGGTGTTTCCTGAAATGCTGGTGCCCCAGAACCATCATCCTTAAGCTATTGAATCGATGCTTCTGGGGATTCCCCCATGACGAACCGGAGATCTCCCACCTCAATGCCCTCCGCGGCAGAGGCCGAGATCTTCTCGCACATCAAGGCCCTGAGTCTTGGGTTTTTTCTACAAACTGGGGATTCATCAAAAATTGCATTTTTATTCTATCTTTTTTAATCCAAAAATGTATTTTTTGGATTCATCATCGTATTTCTTTATCCGGATTTTATGGCTAAACAAATTCTGGTCCCACCTTCATTCTATCATTCTATCCATTGTATTTTCATTGTATTTTCTATGGAGAGTCATAAAAACAAAGCAAAATCCAATTTTGATGGGATTTCTTTTTCAGACGATTTTCAATGGTTTATGTGGTTTGTACGAAATCCTGTTTTTTTACGAAATCCTTTTTTTTAACGTTTGTACATAAATCCACGGTTTTCATCGTGAAATCCTCACCTTAAGCTGCATGGCTGCTTAAACCTCTCCACATTTGTCGAAGTCGAAGCATCATTCACGATGAATTCGCCATTTTTCACGGTGACCCTCTGGTAATGACTAACAGTTTGCTATTGAAGCCATGGCCCAATTGAAATAGTTGATGAATACCCACTCAAAATGGTGATGTTCTACAGCTTTTAGTATGTTTACCAGAGGGTACAACAGTGTTTTTTCTTGGTTAAATCCCAACTCCTCAAGGGGCGACAGCGACATGATCTGCCTGTAGGTGCCCGCCATGGCGCCCGAAGACCGTGGCAGCCCAGAGCCGAGAACAAAATTGGCTGAAAGCGCGGTTGATGTTGATATTAACCAACCAACCATGGTAACTTGGTTTATAACCTAACTTGGTGATGTTTATGGTCTATGTGGGATATATGTGGGATAGAACTAGTTAATGAAGCTCCCCAGCCAGTCTTTTTGTTGACATAAAGCCAGCAAAAAATGGTGGGCTATAGTTATGGCTGTAATAGTTGATTTAAGTTAGTGAAAGAAACGATGTTGATATATCAACCAACCAATCAATATGAAAAATAGCCCCATTGTATGGTCCCAAATATGTGGATTTATCTCCCCATATTTACCTACATTTACCCCAAAAATTGCCCAAATGTAGGTAAATATTCCAGCACCATGGTTCGCATCTGGGTCCTATATATACTATACATAGACCACAGGGTTCGTTTCGGGGTGTTTAAGGATGTTTCAGGGCTGAAAGGGGGATGGGAGTCTAACACCATTTTACCAACCAATATTGGGAGATTACCTTCAACGATGGGTACTATCTTACAGAAATGATGGTGGTTAGTTGATTGATATCATTGATATCCTATCATGCGGTTGGGAAATTCAATTCATAGCTCCAACTGGCTCCCCATTGAGGAAAATAGATAACCAGAGCTCCTGAGCTCCCTCCTAACCGCTAGTATTTGCTGTTGATCAATTAACTGGCGAAGCCTTTATCTTCCACCCTTTTTTTGAGAGTCCTTAGTGACTTTCTTGGATTTACTTAAGGAACCACCAACAAAAATAGCAAGAATCCCATTCTGCAAATGGCGGATTTCCTGGGATTTCGCCGTGAGAAAATAACAAATCACCGCAAGCAAAGCCAGGAAATGTGTCTGAACATGTGGCAAGTCCAAGCTGGTTGGTGGTATACCTACCCTTCTGAAAAATGATGGACTTCGTCAGTTCAATGTGAGGCCCCCGTTTGATATCTAAGTTGGTTTATAACTCGAATAACTATGGTTTATGGTACTTATAACTATAGTTACTGGGGCTTATAAACCAACTTATAACTGGGGGGCCTCACATTGCATAATTGAAAGACTTAATATCCCAACTTGCGGAGGTTATCACCAGAGTTCTATCCATTAGTAATCCAAACTGCACCAAGTCAGAATCATGCAGTAATTTCATTCATAAACCATTAAGACGGTAATGAATGATATTATACCCCAGTTACATGTGGAATATCTCCAGATCTGCACGATCGCCCGCGGCCCGGGACTTTTTTCTAAATTGCCGCTCTCTTTATCTTCCCGCTGCGTCAGGAAACACCGCAGGACCTGAGTTTGTGGGATTCAATTGGTCCAAAAAGGTCTGTTGTTCAATAAGAAAACCTACTTAGATGGGCCATGGAGTTAGGGAAAACTAGTTAGTAACTGGAGTTATAACCCCCTATATCCCAATCATAAGCCATTGACTAACTAGTTAACTAACTCCATGGCCCATCTAAGCAAAAAGGTGTGTTTTTCAATCAGAAAACCTACAAGAAGTGAAAAGACCATTTGAATAATCCCATCCCCCTCACATTAAACACCCACTTGATGCTGCCTATGGAAATTCTCTACATCCACCATGGTTTCTAGAGGTTTCATATTAGGGTGATAGGATTATACTTTCATGGGGGAATAATGACCATACATTAACTTTCGTGGTACAAATAATACCATGGTTCAAAAACAAACACCATACCCAGATGCTCCATGCATAGAATATTTACCTACATTTACCCCAAAAATGGCACACATGTAGGTCAATATTCCAGCACCATGGAGCATCTGGAATAGATAATACCTGGTTGGTGGTTTCAACCCCTCTGAAAAATATGAGTTCGTCAGTTGGGATGATGAAATTCCGAACTGAATGGAGAGTCATAAAATTCTATGGTTCCTTAAACCACCAACCAAATATAATTATATATATATGGTTTTTATATGGTTGACACTGGGTCATAGTGGACTCTGTCTCTCCAACTATGGTGATTTAAAAAAGTGCGATGGTCAAAGGATGGAAAAAATGTACCCTCTGGTAAACTAACGTAGCTATTGAAAATGGCCATTTATAGTGGATTTTCCCATTAAAAAAGGTGATTTTCCATAGTTATGTTAGTTTACCAGAGGGTAACTTTCAGGGTTTGTTGAATCATGGTATCTTCGGTTTCCCGGCCATTTTCTGCACCAAAGTGCATAGCTTCCACCTGAGGTCGAGGCCTCTTTTCGCCAGAATGGTGGCACGAAATTCACCTTGCGAGTCGTGGTCGTGGTGCTCAACAAATTGGGGGAGGTGATTGAAACTTTCCATGATTACCATCTGGTTATTTAACGTAACTATGGAAAGATCCACCATGTTTCATGGGAAAATCCACCATAAATTGTGATTTTCCATAGTTATGTTAAATTACCAAAGGGTAAAGGATTTTAAATTTAGACACAATTAAAAAAAATGTGTTAAGTAACCATTGGTCATATAAAATCATTGAAACTTCATGATCTTCCCATTACAATGGTTAATTCATCTAGATGTATTCATATATGACTCATGACCATCTCACTTTCTGAAGCATTTACTCAAGGGCCTCAAAAAAAAATACGTCATATAGATTCCCTTATCCTCTGGTAAACATAGAAAAAAATGGAAAATCACCATTTTCAATGGGTAAATCCACTATAAATCACCATTTTCAATGGCTATGTTAGTCATTACCAGAGGGCAAACGGTGGATTTCATCCTCAGCAACTCTCGGGTAAAAATGGGAATATTCAGGTCGAAAAAAGACCAGCGGCCCCCAGTTGGCTTATTGATATACAATAGATCACCTACTATTCTTTATCACCATAGTAATCTTGGCTTTGATATATATATATAGAATATACTACAATACAATACAATACACTATAATACAATATAATGTTTGTTGATTAAACCACCATCATTATACCATTATCGTATATTATCGTTATTTTGTAATCTTCATCATGTTGGTTCATGATCAGCGCATCGATTCGATCGCCGCCTCACCGCGAGCTACGCTGACGCCAACCTCACCATCTCTTGCCGCCCAAGAACCTACGCTGACACCAGTCGGAAGGAGGTAGGAGGTGGTGCCCCCCAGATTATAAGTGGGATACCCGGCCTGGTAATGACTAACAGTTTGGGAACTTGAAGCCATGGCCCAGTCGAAATAGTTGATGAATACCCATTTCAAATGATGATGTTCTATGGTTATGTTAGTTTACCAGAGGGTATAATCCCATGAAAACTATAGAGACATCACTGATATCACCAACAAAAACCGTGACATTGGACTTATAAACGCACCAACTATCAACTTCGCGTTCACGAATTGGGGCACCAGCCGTCCTATTTTGCTGAGGATATGTGTCATAGAAACAGGTCAGTCTGAGGTTAGTTCGCCCCGTAACGGAACAACCCAGGAATCGGGGTAAGCTGGAAAATCCCCGCCCATCGAACTAAATTACAATGTGAGGCCCCCGTTAGATATCTAAGTTGGTGCAAATAACTCCAATGTCACTATGGTTTATGGTACTTATAACTATCTAGTTACTGGGGCTTTTGTTAACCAACTTATAACTGGGAGGCCTCACATTGTAACTAAATGGAGGTTACAAACAAAAAGGCGAAAATCCGAAAGAACTTGAACTCAATGGCGGATCTTCCAGCCATGGACATGATGACATGGGCATATTTCAAGTTCAACAAGACATGGGTATACGGTATATTTCAAGTTCAACAATATATAATTATTTAGCACTCTCGAACCTTGGGCCCTTGAAAAATGGTACACATTGGTACAAATAGTAAGATTATGGTGGTAAAACACCATTTTTCAGTTTTTTTTCAGGTCTAGGAACACTGCTGTTACCAGAAGGAAATTTTATCTGCCCTCCAAATTTGGTCGTATTTGGTGCAGCTGGGTCTACCTAGCTGCACGAGACGTTTTAAAAAATCAAGTCAAATTTGGTGCAAATAACTCCAAAAACTCCAATGTCACTATGGTTTATGGTATTTATAACCATAGTTATTGGGGCTTTTGTTAACCAACTTATAACGTTTGGGGGCCCCACATTTGGGGGCCCCACATTGCAAGACTGAACATATTTTCCAGCCAAAACATAAGCCATGCAGCTATGTATTTGTCTATGACAAAGTTCAAGTGTGAAATCAGTTGAATTGTTGACTATTGAAATCTAGATTAAAACCTAACGAATTATTGAAATCTATTGTTCAATCTATTAAAAAACCTAACTACCCTGTGGTTATTAAACATAGCTATGGAACATGGCCCATTTACAAATGATTTTCCCAGCTAAACCTCTGTTTATAATGGTTTTTCCATGGCTATGTTAACTACCGTGTGATTATTTGACGTAGCGAACTGGAAAGATACACCATTTTTGATAGGTAAATCATCATTTTTTATCCCACAGAAATGGACCGTTTTCCATAGCTATGTTTTTCCACAATCAGATGGTAAGTAGGGTGATCATCCACTTATACCTAGGCTTTTGCAACTAACCTACCGACTAACCATCGCTTTTTTATCCACCAAGTAGACAGAATCATAACAAAACCATACAACAAAACCATAGAAAAACCAGTTCGATAGTTCAACATAAACCATAGATCAGATAAACCATATAGAGATTTATTTAACCATAGAATTATTTAACCAGAGTTTTTTTTTTTAAAATCACTATTCATGGATTATCATCACTATTAAACCATATGAAAAACCACAGTTTTCTACACCATGGATTATAATCACTATAAACCATGTTTAAACCATGTTTAAACCATGTTTAAACCATAGTTAAACCATAGTTAAACCATAGATATTTATGTATTTAACCATAGTTTTCTATGTTATCCATACAAAGTGAGGCCCCCAAGATATCTAAGTTGGTTAACAAAAACCGCAGTAACTAGTTCGTTATTTGCGTACCATAAACCATAGTGACATTGGAGTTATGTTCGCCAACTTAGATATCTAACGGGGGCCTCACATTGTTAAACATTATTAACCATAGATTCACCATAGATTAACCATGAAAATTCATGTTCCAAACCATATGAAAACCATATGAAAACCATATGAAAACCATATATGAAAACCATATATGAAAATTCATGTTATCCATAGTCATTTAAACCATATAAAAAGGGGATTCTCCACCTCCACAGCTCCACACCTCCAGCTGCGGTACTCGGCTACTCGAGTCGTCAAGTCGGAAGTAGTCGGAAGTCGCCACGTTTTTTTTTTTCGCCTTGCTACCTTGGGCGCAGCAAAAATCGACCAAAATAAATGGGGGGAACTTGGAAAAAATGGTGAACATCTACAGAAAAAATGGTGGAACAATCCACGAAATTAGATGTAGTTGTAGAAATTTAGAAAATCTAATTTCACCATAGACTGTTATAGAATTGTTATAGACAAAATTGAAACGCAAAAAGGAAAAATGAAAAATCTACCTTGACCAACAGAAATGATAGAAAAAACAATGATAGATGCTTCATATAGGACATGTTATTGGACTATTAGTGGAATATCAAGGATTGGTTAAGGGTGTCTTAATGGGGATACAGTGATAATTTAACGGGAATCGGATAGGAACATTAATATTTAATCGGATATCAATGAAAGGTTGGTTAATACCCCCTCAGTTTCAGCAAACATGGCAGAAAATATCACCGAACTAAATGAAGGTTCATGATCAGCTGGCAAAATCAGCTATGATTCGAGGATGTTCAAGCCATGTTTGATTAGCAGAGTTTTTATCGGACCAACAGTATACACATGTCATTCATACAATGTGAGGCCCCCCCAGTGATGTTAGTTGGTTAACAAAAGCCCCAGTAACTAGTTCGCTATTTGCGTACCATAAACCATAGTGACATTGGAGTTATGTTCACCAACTTAGATATCGTAATAAACGGGGGCCTCACTAACTGTACCAATGGACTCTGGATTTAAGTGAACTTAATTCAATCTTCAGCATCAGCATGTCATGAATATATGATGGTAAACAGCAATGCTTATGTCATGGTTTGTCTAAAAATAGGACACCGGAATTCTATTGCTTAATCGTATTACTATCCCTGAATATTCCCACCAAAGTCGCAATGGCTATTCGCTATTCAGGGTTGAACATGTCAGCGCCAGCAACAATTAGCATGCTTTCCGAAATATCTACGCTTACTTAGATGGGCCATAGGATTAGCTAACTGGTTAGTAACTGGGGTTAGTTTACCCCTATATCCCAATGAAATAAGCCATTTACTAACTAGTTAACTAACTCCATGACCCATCTTATAAGTAGCTTACACGTTCATAATCTTTTGCATATCTACCCCACAAGTGAAATACAGAACCCCAACGAGATCCTTCTATCCACATGAACCACACCGGGACCTAAGGTGGGCCTCAGCGGTTTGAGGTGAAAGTTCAAACCCACGAAGTAGTTCGTTACATCCTCCAGAAGGTCTAGTGAAGCCTAGAATTCACCGATAAGTCAACTATAACTCCAATAACTATGGTTTATGGTACTTATAACTATAGTTACTGGGACTTTTGTTAACCAACTTATAGCTATTGAAAATGGCCCAGTCGAAATAGTGGATATACCCATTAAAAATATGGTGGATCTTTCCATCGTTTGTGAGTTTACCAGGCCGGGTAGCTATCGTTTGGGAGTTTGGCAGCCCCATGTGGGGGCTAAGTCATAAGGGCTCTGACTAAGGCCTCGGCCCCCCCGCGTGCACGACCTATCTTGGAGACTTCCTCCCTGGCGCAACTCCGTCGGGGAAATTCCATGGTGTAACGCTGGTGGTTGCAAACACGTGGACTGGATCGGACAGAACATCACAACCGTATTTTGAAACGCACACACACACACATCCGTTCAATGATGTTTCGTGATATTACCATCCAAAATTAGATGAAGACACTGCAAAGATAATTCTACTATTCCAATGATGTTTCCAGTTGAGCCGATCAAAATACCATTATCCCAGCTTATACTAGTTGGTTGATAGGTTTCCCTGCTATGGGTTATCATAATCCTGAGCAAATTTGGTAGTGAAAGTCCCCATATCAACCAATGAACGAGGGCATCAATGATTCATGGCTCAATTGCTGTCATGTACCAAACCATAATACAATCCAAGTTAATAAGAATTATTACCCTCTGGTAAACTAACATAGCTATGGAAAATCACCATTCATAATATAGGTAGATCAACTATAAATGGACCAATTTCCAAAGTTATGTTAGTTTACCAAATGGTATATGATGTTTCTGGAATGGCTATACCACCAATAAACAATGCTGATTTGGGGGATGGTTTATGGCATTGTTGTACCCACATTTTTCCAATTGCCCTCTGGTTATTCAACGTGGTTATGGAGAATCAACATGTTTAATAGGGAAATCATCAAAACCATCTATTTTTATGGACCATTTTCCAAACCCAGATGCTCCATGGTGCTGGAATATGTACCTACATTTGTGCCATATTTGGGGTAAATGTAGGTAAATATTCCAGCACCATGGTTCGCATCTGGGAAAGCTATGTTAAATAGCCAGAGGGTATCGATTAAATCGTATTAAATAGTAGTTATAGTAATACCATATAGTATATAGTATCAGACGATGATATAGATACTACTCCATATTGATCATCATTAGATAGATAACTATATGGTTATACTACTAATGGATGATTAAATCATCTAAATATGGAATAACTATGGGATACTATAATGGGATACTATAATGGGATACTATCAGTACTATATCAGTGGATAATTATATTGATATCCAAAGGCTAATAATAGTTTTCATGGGATTATACCCTCTGGTAATCATACAAAAAACCATGGAAAATCACCATATGTTTAATGGGTAAATCCACTATAAATGGCAATTTTCAATAGCTATAAGTTGGTAAACAAAAGCCCCAGTAACTATAGTTATTTGCGTACCATAAACCATAGTGACAGTGGAGTTATAAACCAACTTAGTTATCTTGGGGGCCTCTCATTGTATGTATGTTCTATAATATCTGGTTGGTGGTTTCAAACTGTATATAGTTATAAGCACCAACTAGTTATTTGTACCGAAGCCTATGGAAACTCGGAGCACGAGTCCACCGATGTGTCCATGTTCACCCACCTCGCGCTTGGAAAACTGCCTCTAGACATCCATCAGGAGCACCTCCAAGGAGCAGCAAGAAACGTGTTTTTTTTTGAAATGTGGGGGATAAATCGGATTTATACAGATTTATGATGATTTCTGATGATTTCTGATGATTTATGACTAGGACTTATATGAATTTACATGGATTTCAATGGGATTGTTATAGCAACTGTACCCATATGTTCCATGGTGCAGGATTTACAGCACACCTACAAAAGTGGACCATTTTCGGGGTAAATGTAAATACATATTGCATTCTGGACAAACCCATTTCTCGGAAAAAAAACAACATATTCCCTGTTTGGAGGATCATTCCACTTCGTAAGTGGTGAAAAAACCCTGGTGATCGAATTTGTCCCCATGAATCGTGATATAAATCCTGGAAATTTTCCCATGGCTTTTTTTGCTCCAGTTAATAATCACGATAACCCAAGTGCATCATCAAAGTTTCCCAAATACTGGACTTCTCAATCGGGCAAGTTTAGATTAACCTTCAGCTAATCCACGAACCGTAGATATACCAACAATGTGAGGCCCCCAAGATACCTAAGTTGGTTTATAACTCCAATAACTATGGTTTATGGTACTTATAACTATAGTTATTGGGGCTTATAAACCAACTTATAACTGGGGGGCCTCACATTGTAGATATACCAATGATATTCCCCGCCAAAGAGTTGGCACAGTTACGGCTTCGTCTGTATCTTCTAGGGCGGGATTTCCCAAGGAAATGTTCCCTAATCATAGCAATTTTCCTCCCCAAGCGATAAACACAAAATATACACATGATTCTTGTATTCTTGTAAGTTTCGAAGCTTTCTTTTTCCCCACCTGCCAGGTGAGGGTTGTTAGATTTTATGTCAGTTGCCTCCTCCTCCTTCTCCTCCTGCTCCTCCTCCTCCTCCTCCGCCTCCTCCTGCCTCGTCCTCCTCCTCCTCGCCCTCCTTGTCATCCTTGTCGTCCTTGCTCAACTGCGACCCGCGATCCACAGTGTTCTCTGCCGGACCTCAACCACGACCACCCACGCCCAGTGTTCCCTGCCGGACCTCAACCGCGACCATCCACGCCAAGTGTTCCCTGCCGGACCTCAACCACGACCATCCACGCCCAGTGTTCCCTGCCGGACCTCAACCACGACCATCCACGCCCAGTGTTCCCTGCCGGACCTCAACCACGACCATCCACGCTCAGTGTTCCCTGCCGGACCTCAACCACGACCATCCACGCCCAGTGTTCCCTGCCGGACCTCAACCACGACCATCCACGCCCAGTGTTCCCTGCCGGACCTCAACTGCGAGTATCCACGCCAAGTGTTTCCTGCCGGACCTCATGTAGGAATGTCAGATAGACAGCCAGATAGAATGCCAGATAGAATGTCAGATAGGATGCCAGATAGAATGCCAGATAGAATGCCAGAAAGAATGCCAGAAAGAATGCCAGATAGAATGCCAGATAGACTGCCAGATAGAATGTCAGATAGAATGTCAGAATATATGGCAGATATAATGCCAGATAGAATGCCAACATATATGCCAGAATATATGTCAGATAGAATGCCAAAATATATGTCAGATATAATGCCAGATAGAATGCCAGAATATATGCCAGAATATATGTCAGATAGAATGCCAGAATATATGTCAGAATAAATGACAGGTAGAATGCCAGAATAAATGTCAGATGAAATGTCAGAAAATATGTCAGATAGAATGCCAGATAGACTGCCAGATAGAATGCCAGGTGGAATGTCAGGATATATGCCAGAATATATGCCAGAATATATGTCAGATAGGATGTCAGAATATACTAAATATATGTCCAAATATACGTCCTGACATGTCATGGTGGGGATCACACGAAGTAGAGTAATTTTCTTTGGATACCATCTGATTATGACTAACATAGCCATGGTTTTTCGATGGCCCATAGAAACAAATGGTTTACCGTTCTTAAAAATGGTGGATCTTTCCATGGCAAACTGTTAGTCATAACCAGAGGGTAAATCCAAAGATCTAGGCATCTGGATTAGTAACTGGGGTTAGTTTACCCCCAAAAAATCCCAATCATAAGCCATTTACTAACCATGGCCCATGATATAGGGATAGAGGATCTAACCATGGTTAGGGATAGATGGTTAGCGAAAACTAGGGATATATGAAAACTAGGGATCTAACCATTTGCTAATCATAAATAGTGATTTTTCCCATTTATAGTGAATTTTCCCATTAAACATGATGATTTTCCATAGTTATGTTAGTTTACCAGAGTGTAAATGGCCCATCTAAGTAGGCATCCCCCCCTCAACCCCGTAGGTCCTCCGTGGGTCCCTCCGTGGGTCCCTTAACACCTCGCAGTCGTCGCACTGCACGGCGCAGCTCAGCGCGCAGACGACACAAACGCTGCGCGCTCAGAATGTGCCCGAGATCCCAGTCCTTGGATCATTGGATTGGTTTTGTTGGGAATCATGGTTAGTAATGGAAATCATCCCCAAATGGCCTTAATTATCCTTAATTCAGGTTAGTGAAATATTATAATTTACCCAGATGGATTGGTTTTCTTGGGAAAATCTTAACCGGAAACCCATGGGTTTTTACCATCAAATTGATCGGGCTTTCCGGTTAAAATTTTCCCATCATCCAATTCTATGATTGGAAAATCCCAGGTGAGTCATCTATCAGTGAGTTCGGACCCGAGTTTTTGGGTTTCAATTGGTCCAAAAAGGTGTGTTGTTCAATAAGAAAACCTACTTAGATGGGCCATGGAGTTAGGGAAAACTAGTTAGTAACTGGAGTTATAACCCCTATATCCCAATCATAGCTACTTAGATGGGCTATGGAGTTTGTTAACTATAGATAGTAAATGGCTTATTTCATTGGCATTTTTCTTGGGTAAACTAACTCCAGTTACTAACTAGTTTTCACTAACTCCATGGCCCATCTATCGGTGAGTTCGGAACGGCGCTTTGTTGGTGGGGAATTCTATGGTCTATGGCAAGATATATCAAAACTAGTTGATGAATGTTATAGACCAACTTTAGCTAATGTTAGTTTAAACCATAACCGGCATACACACACATATATATATGAGCGATTGTGAAAACCCTAGGTTCACGGAAAGGACATCCACAAATTTGGGAAGGTCCCATCGCTTACCACACGTTTGTACAATAATGATATATGGTAAACTTGGGGGGTATCGCTTGCAGGAAACTGCTGCATTTATATATATATATATATATGTGATGGACTATGAATAATATGTGATATTTGGGTATCGCTAATGTGGATATTAGAGAAATATGATGACATAACCTTGAAAAGGGGTATCGCTAATTTGGGAAGGTCCCATCGCTTACCTCGTGTTTTTAACAATTTCCATCAATTTCCATAAACCAATGTCTGTCGAATACATATTTAGTATCGCCGGGGTTTTTACGGTTGCTCATATATATAATATATTAGAGGTATATTAGAGGTATATTATACACTATATTATATATATATATATATTATACATAGAGATTGGAGTTCTTCAACTTCGCCTTCGCGAACACGGCCCCACCTTGCACCGACCACGGTCCCACTTCGTGAAGTTCTGGAGAGTTTTCTGCTGTCTGCAGTCACTTGAATAGTCACTGGTTGGTGGTTGACCTACCATTGTGGTTAATATACTGTTAATGATGATGGTTAATGATGATGGTTAATGATGATGGTTAATGATGATGGTTATTATATGGTTAATGATGGTTCATAATCGTTAACTGGTTGGTGGTTGACCTACCCCTCTGAAAAATGATGGAGTACGTCAGTTGGGAAGCATTATTCCGTATATTATGGAAAAATAAAACATGTTCCAAACCACCAACCAGAGTCAGAATCTTTGAAGGTAAATCCTACTCAAGTATACTATGCGTCTAGCCAAATGCATTCGAGTTTATCACCACATCTGCGTTGCAAGGACAAGTCGTTTCACTACCTCTAAACAACTAAACACTAGAGTAGTTATCTGGTTGGTGGTTGACCTACCCCTCTGAAAAAAACTTGAGTTCGTCAGTTGGGATGATTATTCCCAACTGAATGGAAAAATAAAAATCATGTTCCAAACCACCAACCAGAAACAATAGAGTAGTTATATATTTGGCTTTGAGTTTTTGGTATGATCTTGCTGTGGGACCCACTGAGCGGCTGGTCTGTCCTACATCTGGGAGGGGTTCTGCACTTGTGGCGAATGTTACGGCACCCGAAAAAAGCCTATGGTTTGCGCGGACTCCCAGTCCGAATGTTTGGGCAAGCCAAGAAGAACATCTGTAGTGATAATGATTATCATAACCCAGATGCTCCATGTATGGAATATTTACCTACATTTACCCCAAAAATGCAGAGTTTTGTAGGTAAATATTCCAGCACCATGGAGCATCTGGGTAATGATGATGAAGATGGTATGGTTACTTGTTCCATTGGGATGGGGGATTTCAATGGATTTCATATCTTATGCAATTTCGAAAGCACAGTCTGATTGCGGTATGGTATATGTTTCCACAGAGTGTGGGAATGTGTAACTTATATCAACCCTAAACGAAACCGTATCTGCGGTATGGTTAACTGGGACGGGAGATCTAATTATATTTTATGTAAGCAAAGAACTCATTGCGGCATCAACACTTGTTCCAAGGGGGTGGAAGATGTATAGATTTTATATCTTCATCAACATAATAACATGTGTATTCATTTGTTCTATTTCAGGTCACCACGAAGTCATTGTTAGATCCCCAAAACAACCTTTAGCCATCCGGCCAGTGCTTCTTCGGGCCCATGCTCGATGAAATTTCCCACTTTTCTTGGAGCCCCCACAGTTTCAATGGGATCTTCCAAAGACAGTCGCGGACTGGAAGATGAATACCTGGTGACTTGGAGATACTTGGAGGAAGGATCACTGGTTGGTGGTATACCTACCTACCCCTCTGAAAAATATGAAGAGTTCGTCAATTGGGATCATGAAATTCCCAACTGAATGGAAAATGATAGTCCATTCATGTTCCAAACCACCAAGCAGGTATATTATATATGATATTCCCATATGAATATTCCCATAGAAAGTTTGTCTATAGATCTACCATAAAAGCCATGTTCCAGTCACCAACCAGATCATAACTGATGAGTGTTAGTGGGCATAGAGTTCACCACTTATATCTATAGGATAACCCCACATTGGGGACTTACATGGCAGTGTGTCAAAACCTTGTACCCCTGGTGAACATCAAAATAGCTGGTAAATGGATGTTCATCCCACTAAAAATGGTATTAATAGGTATATTGATCCATTGCCACATCAGGGTTACTAAGCAGTTACGAGTGCTCCATTGGATTCTTCGCGATCCTCGCGATCCTCGCCTGAATCTTGACGCGTTGACAGCCTCAGCGAACGCAATTCCCAGGGTTTCGATCTGACCAAAGCCAGAATGGTTGTCTGAAAGTTGTGATACCCAAGTCACGGGAATGAAAACTTCGAAGTGCAGGTTTCCTAGATAGCTAAGTTATTGACTTGTAACTTGGTGAACTATAGTTTCTTAATTGCAATTACAAGTGTATACACTTCATAGGGTCTATACATAAACCAACTGAGAACTGGGGGGCCTCACATTTCTTTATCAAACACGGACATTTGAAAGTACCCAAAACGCCCAGAAGCGCGGAACAGCGGTTGAACTTTTGGGCGTATCTCATCCCATGTGATGGACAGTCAAGAAATGGAATCACTAATCAAACATCAACCCCAATATCCCAATGAAACAAGCGTTTTTTCAAACATGCATAATCAGAATAATCAGCATAATCAGCATAATCAGAATAATCAGCATAATCAGCATAATCTGTGTCTTATCTTCATACATTCACACTCATTCATACAGCATATAACATCTGGTCACCTTTGCAGTTTCCTCGTTTATTGCAGCGTTTAACATGTCTCAGGCTCTGGCGTGACAACCCAAACGAACCGAGGCAGAATCGTTGAGAAAATCAAAGCCTGGCTGGGCAAAAAGCCCTGGTGCCTTGAAAACATGGCCCTTTTATAGGACTTATAAACCAATAGCTATTGGACTTATAAACCACTGGTGTTTTATATAACTAGTGTTTTATAAAACTATTATAGTTTCTGGGGTCAAGACATGGCTTCAATATGGTTTTTATATGGTTTAATATGGATAATAATGGGATAACTGGGATAACAATACTGGTTGGTGGTTGACCTACCCCTCTGAAACATATGAGTTCGTCAGTTGGGATGATGAAATTCCCAACTGACTGGAATAATAAAATTCATGTTTGAAACCACCAACCAGATAGGGTCAAGACTTGTTGAATGAGTATTTAGTGGGTTATAAACAATCCCTGTAACTGATGCTTGATGATCATCAATGTGATAAATATGATCAAGTGTGGGTCTGACATCAGGGTATGGCAAGGTTTTTTGGGGAAAATGTCCACTGTCAGTCTGATGGTGGGCTATGGTCATCCCACCATCAATGGGATTCCCCAAGGAATGGGTACAGAAAAACCGCTGGCACTTCACTGGGGGATACCATCCCTCAACGTGGGTTAATCTAATCCAACTTAAGGACCTCCCTTCAGGCAAAGTAAGATATCAGCCAACAAACATGGGGATACCAGTTGATCAATCAATGGGAGATCTCCAGGATCCAATTGATGGAGCTACGTAAACGTACCATATGTTTGGCCATATGAATTGGGGGTATATCCCCTTACATAGGCCTGAAAAATAGGCCTTAGATAGGCCTTACATATGGTAGGTACCTTCAATAAATCGGTTCCTGTTGCATGGCCATTGAATCAACAAGCTGAATCAACAGTCGCTGCTTGGTCTTTCTTTGGAACTACCGGCGGATGCTGGTTGAGCCGCTCCGTTGATCTTATCCCAATTTCAGGGATGTGCAAAAAATAACCAACGAAGAAAACGTCAAAATTGTGTATTTACAGTATCCAAAAATCCAAAACAAGAAAAGCGGAAGATATAACCTCCAAACTCCCAGAACATCGAGATTGGAATCCAGAAAATATGCAAAAATCACAAGAAACAGGGAAGATATCATTTACAAATAGTGCAGGAAGGGCTCTGCAGTTTTGTTTGTTGGTTTTATAAAGCCATAGAACCATATAGATATATCTGCCATAAACCATAGTTTGGCATACTTATAAACCAACTTATCTATCTGGGGTGCCCTTGCTGTGAAAAAAAACAACCTTTTAGACTTGTCATGCTGCGTCCCAACCAAGCATTGCAAGCCGGGCAAGAAAAACACTTCGCCAAGAAGTTCCTTGTTTGAACTACACAATATGAGGCCCCCAAGATATCTAAGTTGGTTTAAAACTCCAATAACTATGGTTTATGGTACTTATAACGAACTAGTTACTGGGGCTTTTGTTAACCAACTTACAACTGGGGGGCCTCACATTGCACAGTGTTCCTGGGTAAATTACTGCAATTTTTCCAAGAACAACTTGGATTTACTTCAGGAAGTAAAGACATATATCTCCTATACCAGTAGATTCCCCAAGTGGTGCATTTCCCATTGGGGAAATACAAAATCATCCACTCAGCAAATTCAGGATAAAGACTTTTTGAGATGATTTCCATTGATTTCCCCACTCCCAACCATCAATGGATTGGTTTAAGGGAAAATCTTAACCGGAAACCATCGATTTTCCCATGAAGATCATGGGGTTTTCCTGCAAATTGTCCCTTAAACCAATCCATTGAAACTGGTATCCTTGGCCCATCCCCGGCTCATCCCCAATCTGTGGGTCCGGACGTTCCGAGAAGAATTCAAAGAAAGCATAGAGCAACCTGCGGCCCAATTCCACTCCAAAATGAGATTACATCCCATTATTATCCCATAGTTATTCCATATTTAGATGATTTAATCATCTATTAGTAGTATAACCCTATAGTTATCTATCTAATGATGATCAATATGGAGTAGTATCTATATCATCGTCTGATACTATATACTATATATGGTATTACTATAACTACTATTTAACACTATTTAATAGATACTCTCCGGTTATTCAACATAGCTTTCCCAGATGCGAACCATGGTGCTGGAATATGCACACCTACATTTACCCCAAAAATGGCACAGTTTTGTAGGTGTGCATATTCCAGCACCATGGTTCGCATCTGGGCTTGGAACATCAAAAATGCACGAAATCGGCGGTGCCAAACCAAAGTGGCTGTAAAAATTCAGAGGTAGACATCCAAAAATGGCGTCTACGTAATCTGTTCATCTTTCAACTCCGGCAATTTCTGTGTTTTTGATGCAGAAAATCTCGATTCTGCCGTCTGCAGTCAGTGGTGAAACTCAACCCGTCAAACAAAAAAAAATGGCCGGTGCGGATCACAAAATCTCTACGAGGCTTTTGAACCTGCCGGTAGCTACTTACCCTCTGGTAAACATCCAAAAAACCAATGGAAAATCACCATTTAATGGGTAAATCAACGAACTAAATGGCCATTTTCAATAGCTATGCTAATTTACCAGAGGGTATTCTGGTGTTCATGGTTGGTAGATCCCAATCTGTTCAAAAGCGAACGTGTTAGGTTAACTGCCGCCCTGAAAATTCCAGGTGCAGGTTAGGATTCTCCTGTTTCACTTGTGGTTAGATCCGAAAAATTCTGTAGATCAATGGCCATGTCAGGAAACTGAAGTGGAAGTACCTGTACAAGTAAAGCAATAGAACTTGGGGCCCTTAGACCTCATCTGTGCTAGGTACCTCCAATAAATCGGCCACTGATTATATGGTATAATAATATTATCTAATGGTTAATATCTTGACTTGTAGTATAATATATTATCATCCAGTATATGTATGGGATAGTTGTATAAACCATATCACCATATATAAACTATAAAAACCATTTATAACCAGGTTTCATAATTTTATTGTGTTTTAGTTCCAATATTTTCTATTGAACACAGCCCCAAACACATCCCAAAAACCCATGGTTTTCAGTAGGGTGATTAAAATCTGTGGTCCCCCACGAGTCTTAAGCCACAAACACGATCCGTAGGTAGTTCGCCACCAAGTATTGTTATTCATTATGATTACCCTCTGGTTATGTCAAAATAGCTATTGAAAATGGCCATTTATAGTGAGTTTTCCCATAAAACATGTTGATTTTCCATAGTTATGTTAGTTTACCAGAGGGTATCATGTATCATCATTATTATTGCTATTTAATATTTATTACTATTTAATATTTATTACTATTATTGCTCATATATTTGTATCATGTATCATCATCATTCCCTATGGATCCAGTCGTACCTTCTGAAAGGAAGTGGGACTGGGGCAGAATTTACTATAATTTGGAGGGTTAGCCGTACCTTCTCAGACAGTGGCCATGGATCCATAGGGATTATTGCTATTGATTACTAGGTACCAATAATCCCTATGAAACCAATAATTAATAGTAACTATTGCTCATGGTACCAATAATCAAGAGCAATAATCAGTTGCATTATTAGTACCATTGCTATTATTAAGTACAATGTGAGGCCCCCCAGTTATAAGTTGGTTTATAAGCCCCAGTAACTAGTTCGTTATTTGCGTACCATAAACCATAGTGACATTGGAGTTATGTTCACCAACTTAGATATCAAACGGGGGCCTCACTAATTGTACCATTGCTTAATAATTAAGTCCCATATTTGGCACATTTTGGGACCATTCAGGGGCCCTTTTGAAAACGAAAACACCATCGTTTCTTCAGCCTGTTCCAATGCCAAGGCACGAGGCCGACGTCCAAGTGGCAGCATCGCATCGATGCATAGCCTCCGAAACAGTGGAGGTTTGACCCGGCCTGGTAAACTTACAAAAAACCAATGGAAAATGGTGATTTATAGTGGATTTTCCCATGAAAAATGGTGATTAACTAACATAACTATGGAAAGATCCACTATGTTTAATGGGTAAATCAACGAACTAAATGGCCATTTTCAATAGCTATGTTAATTTACAAGAGGGTATTCTGGTGTTCGTGGTTGGTAGATCCCTATTTTTAATGGGTAAATCTACTATTTCGACTGGGCCATTTTCAATAGCTATGTTGGAATTGGGATTATACACCCTCTGGTAAACATACAAAAAACTTATGGAAAGATCCACCATTTTGAATAGGTCAATCTTCTCCAACATCCTATGTAATCCTTCTAACTGGGGTGAACTAACCAACTTACCCTCTGGTAAACGTTTACATAGCGAACTGCAAAGACCCACCATTTTCAATGGGTAAATCCACCACGAACTAAATGCAGAGGGTATAGCTTGGAAAATTGAACACCATCTCCTTTTTTTGAGACATATGACATATGCTGCTTCCAAGTCACTGAGACTAGAATATCTTTCTTCTTAAGTTTGAACAAAGTTTAGTTTATGTCCATAGACTCATACTTAGATGGGCCATGGAGTTAGTTAACTAGTTAGTAAATGGCTTATTTCATTGAGATATAGAAGGTTATAACCCCAGTTACTAACTAGTTAACTAACTCCATGGCCCATCTAAGTAGACATATTTCCGTTTTCGGCTATCGCTCTGCTCCGGCTCGGAAAATCAGCAAACTCATCGAGGCGGGCCCCATCCATTTTATACATTTTCAGACGCCCCAAATCACGGCCGGTTGGCTATACCCTCTGGTAAACATACAAAAAAATATGGAAAATCACCATTTTTAATGGGTAAATCCACTATAAATCACCATTTTCAATAGCTATGTTAGTCATTACCAGAGGGTAATCCCGTTATTGTCCCATTATCTCCTGGTTATGCTTCGCTTCATCTCCGTTTTTTAGGGGTGACCCCTTTCTCTGAATCAACCATAATTCAATAATTCACCAATTCCAAAGAAGATAGGTTGAAGTGAGAAAACCATTTCATGATTGATTGAATGATGGATGTTAATTGATTGAATGTTAGCTACAAAAAAAGAAAGGTAATTCACCAGTTCACTGGAAATGATGGATCATAATCATGTCTTTTGTAGCTAACATCCATCATTTCCAGTGAGGTTGCAGTGAGCTCGTTATAATTCATCGACATTACTGCCCATCATCTCCCATTCATTACATTCCCATGATACCACACTTTTTGTCGGTTGAATCCATGAAAAAATCTTGGTAAAAAATCACCATTTTCAGATACCCTCTGGTAAACATTCAAAAAACTATGGAAAATCACAATTTCAAAATTTCCAATGGGTAATTCAACGAACTAAATGGCTCTCAATGGGTAAATCAACGAACTTTCGACTGGGCCATTTTCAAGTTGCAAACTGTAACAGTTATTACGAGGGTATAGTTCAACCATATCAACCATACCTAACACGGATAAACATCAATTAACTATTAAAAAAAAAAAACATATCAACCATACCTCCATATTACCAGAGGGTATCTCATCAATTGGTATCTTCAGCGAATCCCAATTTTCCATGGCTCAATTCCCTACCCGGGATCATCCCACGGATCGTGTTTGTCAGGTGACTTCACCCAACAGTGTTGTGCAGGTGCATGATCAATTAATGTCAACCCCGGATGAGACTAAACCATGGTTTATTAATTAGGGGGGGTATTTCCCCCAATAGTCATGATTTGATACTTTTTTATGGTACCTTCCCAATTAAACAGCCTTATAAACGGGGTTTATTAATCCAGAGTTGACATTATAACTTATCCCACTCGAAATTGGGGATCTGCCTATTTCAGTGGGATAAGTAGGCTTAGAATTGTCAGACCATCCCCCTCCGAAAAAAAAAAAAAAAGTTGGGTTTTTTGTCACCTGACAAACACGATCCGTGGGATCCAAGCAATCAACCAAGCTACCCTCTGGTAATTTAACGTAGCTATGGAAAGATCCACCATTTTCAATAGCTATGTTAGTCATTACCAGAGGCTAATTTTCATCATTTTGAATGGCTCAATTCCCTACTTCAGGTGGTGACACCTCCAGGATCCTCCAAGTATAAATGGCGAAAAAAAAAATCTGAAAACTACTTCGATATATCACCTACCCTCTGGTAAACTAACATATATAGCTATTGAGCATGGCTATTTATAGTGAATTTTCCCATGAAAAATGGTGATTTTCCATAGTTATGTTAGTTTACCAGAGGGTAATCTCACCAACAAAAACCTGAGTGACATTGGAGTTATGTAAACACCAACTGAACGCGAAAACGAAGGGGGGCACCACCTTTTTTATGTTTCAGAAGGATTCTTGGATCATTTCCCCATCGCTTCAAATCCTCACAGTTCTTCCCCAGTTTTTCAGTTGCCTCGGCTGACTTCCAGGCCACGTTGTAGCGTTGCCCATCCTCTTCCCAAATCTCCGGCTCTGCAAGCGCCTACGGATGTTGCGATGAAGAATGCGTGTTGTTGAAAAATCCATGCTTCAAGGGAAAATCTTCAGCGGAAACCATGGATTTTCCGGTGAAGATTTTTCCGGTTAAGACCAATCCATTGACAACACCATGTTCCCCCACTTTCCTATGGATTCCCCCATTTCTGGTCAATTTCCCACTGAGAAAATACTGAGGTCATAGGGAAACATGATGACAAGGCATAAACTTTTAGAGTGTACCTTATTTTTAAAACAGACCCAGTTGATGACTGGATATTTTATCTCAAGCATCAATGGAATCACGGACACATCGACGGAAATTGGCAGCCACTCGGAGTGATACACATTGAAAAACACCAAGGGGACGGAACAATGCAACCATCCCCAAATGCTCCATGGCGCCGGAATATATGCATTCGCCCCAACAAAATTAGCCCAGTTTTGGTGGCAAATATTCCATACATAAAATAACAGGTGGGATCATTGATTTGCTCCCAAAATATCATTTAGGGGTTGCTTCTAACAGTAACTATAGTCCCCTTTCTTTAGGAGACATGTGTACATATATAATCATATATAGGGGTATGATTCCATTACCATAAAGGACAATCATCAGTCATGTTACCCTCTGGTAAACTAACATAACCATGGAAAATCACCATGTTTAATGGGAAAACTCACTATCTCTATGGTCATTGTCAATAGCTTTTTGTATGTTTACCAGAGGGTACTGCACAAACTGCCATTAAAAAAAAAAACAATCCCCTTCAGGATGGGGCCCCCCAGTTATAACTGGGTTTATAAACCATTATAAGCCCTATTAACTATAGTTATATCTACCATAAAGCCACTTATAAGGCAACTTAGCTATCTTGGGGGCCCCACCCTGTTCCACCTCCTGGATAAACCAACTGGTAGTGAGTCATTCAGGGCATCCTTCAGGATGTCCGAGTCGCGAATGGCTGGAACCATCCCCAAAACGATGGGAAACGATGGGCCATGGAGTTAGGGAAAACTAGTTTGTAGCTGGGGGTTTGTTACCCCCCAAAAAACAATCCCAATGAAATAAGCTATATTTACTAACTGACTGGTTTTGTTAACTCCATGGCCCATCTAAGTAATGATCATCCCCATCACTCGTATTTGCGATCCAGCACCCCCCCCAAAAAAAATGGCTGTCTCTTCACCGATTCCAAGCGGCGATGTGCCAAAAGGAAAAAGGCCAAAGAAGTCTACCGCAAAGAAAAAGGAATATGTCCAGTCTCCAGATTTTTCATATTCCATTCATTAACTCATAAATATAAGTCAAGTAAGCCATTGTTTTTACAACATGAGCTGCAAGATTCATCAAGAGTCCATTCCACCTTCGATCTTATTCGATGACCAAATGTCCAATTCAGGAACTCCAGGTACAGGATTGGGCCCCCGTTCGAGCGATAGCGTTCAGTTGCCTAAAAAAAAGTGGCTGAATTAACTCTGGTTTATGGTAGATATAACGAACTAGTGGTTATAAACCTTAGAATGGGTAGATAGAAGTATACTTCATGGAGGTTATTTCATGGTTTTTAAAACAACTTATAACTAGGGGGGGCCCTTTAATTCTAAATATAAGTAAGCCATTAATTCTACCAATGCGAAATAATTCCATAATTATTTCAGGATTCCATTAGTTATACCAAATGTCCAATCCAGGGTATCCAGGATATGCAGGTAGCTATAACATGGATTTGCGCAAAAGGAACCACCAAAAAATCAAAAAAAAACCTGCATCGATTCCCCAAGTATTGGATTTCCCATGGAGAAAATTTATTTCCATCATCTTCAGCAAATCCAAGATTCACTGGATTGGTTTAAGGGAAAATTTACAGGAAAACCTCATATTTAATGGTAAACACCATGGTTTCCTGTAAATTTTCCCTTGAACCAATCCATTGAAAGATCATTTAAAAAAAAAAAACAACAACCAGCTACCATAAACCCAAGTGACATTGGGGTTATAAACGCACCAACTTAGCGAATTCATGGGGGCACGATGTGGGGATGAAGCCAGGTAGCTATAATAATAAAATGGTTGGTGGATTGTTGGTGGTATACCTACCCCTCTGAAAAATATAAGTTAGTCAGTTGGGATGATGAAATTCCCAACTGTTTCTGGACAGTCATAATCCATTCATGTTCCAGTCACCACCAACCAGTTTTTTCGAGATATCTGGAGATTGATCCATGGCCACTGTCTGAGAAGGTACGGCTAACCCTCCAAATGATAGCGAATTGGGTATGGGTCAAAATTAGCTACCCCAAAATTATGGATGGTTAGAACTAAACTAGACAAACATCTGTGGTTTTTATAGGTCTTCCATTTTGACCCACACCCAATTATACCCCAGCCCCACTTCCTTTCAGAAGGTACGACTGGATCCATAGGATCCAACATGATCTAATCCTAAGTCTTGGAGATTGGAGTCTTAGGGGCCTCACATTATTAACCACTATTAACCATAGATTCACCATATATATGGGTAAATTATAATAATTCACTAACCTGAATTCAGGCCATAAAAGGGGATGATCTCCCTTATTAACTATGATTCCAGGGTTCGGGAGAACAGTGAGGTCGTGATGAAATTTACCCAGATAATTCACCATTCATCATCATCAATAACCATTATTCACTATGAACCATTAATAATCATTCACCATTATTAACCATTAGCAAACTGTTCATTTACCAGTGTATATACCATAGATTCACCATAGATTCACCATAGATTAACCATGAAAATTCCATGGTTCCAGTCACCACCAACCAGTGAAGCCCATCTAAGCCTGGACCCCAACCAGCTCGCCTGCAGAGATGGCACCACTGATGGTGACGCTTTGCACTGAGCAAAGGCGATGCAAATCAAGGTCCAGGCGTAACCGCCCGGGTAGCCCCTGGGATTCATGGTACCCCCGGGGGCAGGAAAAATAGGGGAGAAACCTGTAAAAACTCACTGGGAATTCCAGGATCCTAAATTGGAGCTACGTTAGTACCATATAAGGCCATATTTTGCTGGGATATTCCCTTAAATTTAGGCCTTATATATGGTACGTACCTCCAATTTAGTTCCTGAAATGGCCATTGAAAAACCATAGGTAAACATAGAAAAAAAAGATGTGGTTTTCCATAGTTTTTTGTATGTTTACCAGAGGATAATGATAGAAAAGCAATAGTGAAACCATACCCAGATGCGAACCATGGTGCTGGTATATGCACACCTACAAAACTGGGTGATTTTTGGGGTAAATGCAGGTAAGTATTCCATACATGGAGCATATGGGATAGGGAAAATGGGGAAACACCATGAAAACACATGGGGAAAAACGTATGAAAAGATGTCGTGAATACTAACAACATGATAAAATGCTGGGGAGTAGATGGTAATATGAAAAATGGTGGTCAAGTGGAAAAAAGGTCACGGTCTCAGCATGGACATCACCAATTTCAGGTGAACGCCCTGCCATCCCTATGACTTACTCTTCCACTGCTTGGTGGTTGACCTACCCCTCTGAAAAATATGAAACCCAAGGTTTTATGAGTCTTATCCCATTTTATCCCTAAGTTTGAGGTTAAACATGGTTCAACTTTATCTGGTTGGTGGTATACCAAAACCCCTCTGAAAAATGATGGAAAACTCGTCAGTTGGGATGATGACATTCCCAATATCTGAAAAAGAATGTTTTAAACCACCAACCAGTCCAGGGTGTGACATCAACCTTGCCACCAAAAACGGCAAGGTCTGGTTGATCTTGCTGTTGCGAACTTACCACTTCTTCATCGCTCAGAGCCCGATCCAACAATGAGATTCTGGGCGAAATTCCTGCTTTTCATGGCTGTCCACTTTTTTGATCCCTACATCATACTACATCTGTATGTATCACGGTTCAATGCCCCATCATTTTGCTGGCCAAGTTGATGTCTATCTCCCTATGTCTGATTACCCTCTGGTAGACGCTGATTACCCTCTGGTAGACGGTTACATAACGAACTGGAAAAGCACCATTCTTTGATGGGTAAATCAACGAACTAAATGGTCATGTTCAATATCTTTTTGTATGTTTACCAGAGGGTATCCAACAAAGGATATTAGAGGATAATGGCAATGGCTGTCATGGTTGGATAATGTTGGATAATATCCATCTATTACCATTCTCCAACCATACAATATCCCATATGCTCCATGGTGCTGGAATATTTACCAACATTTGCCCCAACAATCACCCAGTCATGTAGGTGTGCATATACCAGCACCATGGAGCATCTGGGTATGGTTTCACTATTGCTTTTCTATCATTATCCTCTGGTAAACATACAAAAAACTATGGAAAACCACATGTTTTTTTTCTATGTTTACCTATGGTTTTTACAGGTTTTTTCCCCTATTTTTCCAACCATACACTATGGATAATGAGGGAAAACATATAAACAACACAACAGACCGAGATGTGCACCTCGTTTGCCCTGAAATTTGACGCAACTTGGCCCAACCTGGGGTGCCAGATTGGCCCAACCGGTGGACCAACAAATGGAGCCGGCCGAGAAAAAAACTGTGCAGAATCGAAACAAAAGTCAATGGAACCCAAGGTTTTATGAGTCCATCTTATCCCTAAGTTTGAGGTCAAACATGGTTCAACTTTTTCTGGTTGGTGGTTTCAATCCCTCTGAAACATATTAGTCAGTTGGGATGATTATTCCCAATATATGGAAACATAAAATTCATGTTCCAGTCACCACCAACCAGTTTTTTTCGAGATATCTGGAGATTGAATTTCATTGAGTGACGCAAGCGTAGCGTTTCTGACTCTTTGATGATCAACTCTCCTGAGGTTGTCTACCTGCTGAATCATGGGACTGTAAGCCCAGACATTTTTTCGCACTTGAGCGATGGCTTAAACCCATGGGTTTTCCAGTATGTTTGATGGTTAAAATGGTTAAAACAACCATAGTTTGCTATACAGTTACACCATGTTACACATGTTAAAGAACAAAATCTTTGATGCTTGAATCTGCATCCAAGGTTACCATGACCCGAGCTGGGATAAGTCGACTTCCCCCCCAAAAAAAAAGGACGGGGGTAGCCCCAGTTATTGGTTTATAAACCATGAAATAAACCCCATGAAAACTATCATAAAACCATAGACTTATATATCTACCATAGTAGTTTTCACTAGCCATAGAATTAGATCTACCCATTCTATGCTTTATAACTACTAGTTCGTTATATCTACCATCAAACCAGAGTGCATTCCGCCACGTATTTTTTTAGGCAACGGAACGCAACAGCGCTCGACGGCCCCAAATGACGTCTCTGATAGTACTGGTTGGTTCACCTTCCCAATCCTATGGGTTATCATGATCCCCAATATACCAGTGGGACCAGGTAGTATACATTAGATGATATTAGATGATATTAGATGATATTAGATGATATTAGATGATATTAGATAATATTAGATGATATTAGATGATATTAGATGATATTAGATGATATTAGATGATATTATATGATATTAGATGATATTAGATGATAATAGATGATATTAGATGATATTAGATGATATTAGATGATATTAGATGATATTAGATGATATTAGATGATATTAGATGATATTAGATGATATTAGATGATATTAGATGATATTAGATGATATTAGATGATATTAGACGATATTAGATGATATTAGATGATCATGATATCGGGTTGGTGGTTGACCTACCCCTCTGAAAAAATGACGGACAACTCGTCAGTTGGGATGATTATTCCATTCCCAGTATGATGGGAAAGTCATAAAAAAATGTTCCAGTCACCACCAACCAGCTATGGGTTATCATAATCCCCAATATACATAACATACCAGGTAGTATTAGTCCCAACAAATGAACCAATGAACCGGGATATGTTTCCGTTGTATCATGTTGTATCAACATGTTTGGTTAAAACCCGTTAAAACCCATATAAATCACGATTACCCAATGGTAAACGAACATCGCGAACTGGAAGATCAAAATCGGTAAATCAACGAACTATATAAATGGGCCATCTATAGAATAGCAAACTGTTAGTTTACCAGAGGATAATCTCAGGTTATTCTTGTGTTTTACTGACTTCATAAAGTAATTGGTTTACTATCCCAGATGCTCCATGGTGCTGGAATATTTACCTACATTTACCCCAAAAAATGGCAGAGTTTTGTAGGTGTGCATATTCCAGCACCACGGTTCGCATCTGGGTATTGTTTTACTATTGCGTTTCTATCATTACCCTCTGGTAAACATATACAAAAAACTATTGAAAATGGCCATATTTTTAATGGGTAAGTCAACGAACTAAATGCCCATGTTCAATAGTTTTTTGTATGTTTACCAGAGGGTAATGATAGAAAAGCAATAGTAAAACAATACCCAGATGCGAACCATGGTGCTGGAATATGCACACCTACAAAACTCTGCAATTTTTGAGGGTAAATGTAGGTGTGCATATTCCAGCACCCTGGTTCGCATCTGGGTATTGCTTTTCTATCATTAGCCATATTAATATCCATCTATAATGTTGGTAATGATTATTCCCAATATATGGAAAAAAGAAACATGTTCCAAACCACCAATCAGTTAATTACTATGTATCCATCTATTACCGTTGTCCAACCATACAATATGGATCATGAGTTACTATTGTTACCATTGCTTTTCTATCATTACCCTCTGGTAAACTAAATTTTACTATATTATTTTCCATAGTTTTGTTTATCTTTACTATTGTTTTTCTATCATTAGTCATTAGCCACATAAATCCACCAGGTTTTTTCACCAGGCGATCAGGGCCTTATCATTCATCTGGGTTTTCTTCTGGGTCCCCAGACGCTTCACGGCCAACACCAAGTCGCAGAGCCGTTCATCCAGCAGGGAGTACCTTGATCCACCCAAAGGCGCGAAATCGCGTGGATCTTGCGGTATTTTTGCGGAAACTGATGATCAACTGATGATGTTTACCAGCAATACTTTAGGTAGTTCTTGAAAATCATCAATTAAATGACACGATTGTTATAAAAATCAGAAGTATACCAAAAGTCTGGTGTTCCTCAAATCATAAAGGAAACTTCTTTCACTTTGGGTTTTCCATATATATATACAGAATATCATATATATATACACATATAATCACATATATATATATAATGTATACATACATATACACACCAATATATACATTATATATACATTGTATATGTAGTACAGACATATATATATATATATACTGTATCCAAATCTATCAATCTATCCATATCTATCCCATCAGACAAGATGCTCTCGCAAGAGCAAACTCTTGTAGATGCCCAAGTGGTTGCCAATGGTCACATCAGCTGTGCGTGACTTTGAAGGACCCCAGCGCAGTGTGAGGACAGGTACCTTGGAACAGATCACATGGGTATCCGGTGTCATCCAACGTGGCGGGCCGTGGCGGGCCGCGTTTGAAATCTCAAAAAATGGAAGTTTCTAGCTGGGAAAAATCTTTTGTTAATTGGCGGAATTGTCCATTGCTCAATAATGGGACAATCAGTTAAACTTGTTTTTTTTTTCAAGGCTAGGTATACAACAAACTTTAAAAAAAATCTGAGTTTGGACCTGCGTTCCCAGAAAAAAAATCCCACAACCTTCGATGGCCCATGATTCGTATGTTCGTTTCCCTCGTTTCCACAACATCGACCAACGAATCGCCCTACGGTGTTCCACGGGTGGATCATCCCACGTTTTTTTTTTTCGGATGATCACGGATTAACTTATCCCTGATCACCTTAGTAGGTGGAATAAGCCACCAAGTATGCGAAAAAAAGTGGAATAAGTAGGGTTAAGCACGGTTAATTAACTTATAACTATAGGGATATATATATATATATATAGTTATAAGTATCATACACCAAAGTTATTGGGGTTATAAACCAACTTAGCTATCGTTTGGGGGCCCCACATTGTAAGATTTAAATCTTCAGCTCCTATGTTATTCCTACAATGTGAGGCCCCCGGCCACGATATCTAAGTTGGGGTTCACATAACTCCAATGTCACTATGGTTTATGGTACGCAAATAACTTATAACTATAGTTGCTGGGGCTTTTGTTAACCAACGTTCACATCACAACGGGGGGCCTCACATTGTATGGATAACATATAGAACACTATGGTTAAATACATAAAAAATCATAAATATCTATGGTTAAATCTTCAGCTCCTACGTTATTCCATGTTATTCCTATTATTTCCTATTCATGTTCAATGAATTACAATGAATTACCGCAGTTCGACATGACATGTTTCCGTACAACGAAACAGGCCGTTGAACGAGTCTCCGTTGAGGTTCCACACCCGGCCGCCCAAACCAATGGCAGAACAATCATGGCCACGAGACAAGAGCCTCTGAAAAAAAAAACGGCGCTTAGAGTGGCCATACCCTCTGGTAATTTAATGGGTTTTAATGGGTTTTAATGGGTTTTAATGGGTTTTAATGGGTTTTAATGGTGATTTAATGGTGGTTTAATGGGATTTAATGGGATATATCATGGTATACCCTCTGGTTATGTCAAAATAGCTATGGAAAATGGCGATTTATAGTGGATTTACCATGATTTACCCATTAAAAATGGTGATTTTCCATAGTTATGTTAATTTACCAGAGGGTATATTCTGGAAAGTGTCCATGAAATATGGAAATCTATATGGAAATCTGGAAGATGTTATAGTTAATGAATGTTAATGATCTAGTGTCCATACATATTCTATTGAAATATGGAAGATTCTGGAAGATTCTGGAAGTGGCAAGGCGTCAAGATGCTCATATCCGTAATATCCGCCGACGGTAGGGGCAGCGCGTGCCAGGAGCATCAATATCAGACTCCTACTTAGATGGGCCATGGAGTTAGTTAACTAGTTAGTAACTGGGGTTTGTTTACCCCCTATATCTATCCCAATGAAATAAGCCATTTACTCACTAGTTTTGTTAACTAACTCCATGGCCCATCGAAGTATGATATGGTAAAAACTCACCATGTTTCATGAAGTCTGGAATTGATATCCTCATTGTTGGTGTATTGAAAAAAACACACCTATGATTGGTTAACTCTCCATGTTCAATATCAGAATCCTACAATTAGTGAGGCCCCCGTTTACGATAGCTAAGTTGGTTTATAACTCCAATGTCACTATGGTTTATGGTACTTATAACGAACTAATTACTGGGGCTTTTGTTAACCAACTTATAACGGGGGGGCCTCACATTGTATGATATGGTATATCAAAAACTCACCTTGTTGTTGGTGAACAGTCCATGGATCCCTATGCCACTTGTTGTCTGGCTGCATACCATTCACGACCTCTCAGGTCATCACCAAAATACCATCCAGAGATCATCACCAAATTGGGACATGTGTTCAGCACTATATAAAAATGATCAGCACGACATCTGAATTTGTATCTGAACTTGACATCTTCAGGTATCCGTACTTTGAAGATCCTTGAAGGTATAAATAATACCAATGAAACAAGTAAATCAGACACCCCTCCCTATCCAACAACTGTTGAAAAATTGATCAAAGATCCAGCTGCCTCAGTGGTGCGCCATCAGTGTTCCCAAGGCTCAAACCCCCTGCGCCATTCAACCAAGACCTGGTGCCAGGCACCAGGATTTTTGCCCCTACCCAAATTCAAATTGTGCATTACTGTCAGGAAGAATACCAGGTGGATTTGAAGCAATTCAAATTGCTCAAACATCTGTTTGTTCTTCATACACACAAAAATCATCAAAAATCCAGCAAATTCTTCCAAGGATGAATCTGTGTAGGAGATTTGTCAATTTTCTACCAGCGGATTAACCAACTTTGAAACAAGCACACATCATCAGCAAATCCAATTTTGTGTGATGAGAATCGCCGGTGAATTGACGTAAATATAACTTTAACTCGTTGACCGGATTTGGGTGACTTGGGATTGCACCTATCAAAAGCAACTGGACCGGTTGACACATTTGTTGATCAGCCAAAAAAGAAAACATTACACGTTAAACCAGGGTCTAAATCAGGGTCCCCAAAAAAGCACACATGGCTCTTCACAGGAGGCACACGGTTTTCATCGGTGGGATCGGCGGGCGGTTCCTACAATGGGAATACCCCCAAGCTCCAAGGGATGACCGCTAGAACATGACTTCGTATTGAAGCCCATGATTTGGAGATCCCCATGACTAGGGACCCCAAGTGGAATACCCGGCCTGGTAAACTCTCACAAAAAAGGATGGAAAGATCCACCATTTTTCATGGGTAAATCAACGAACTTTCGACTGGGCCATTCTCAAGAGCTATTTAAGTATGTAAAAACCAGAGGGTACATCCCTACATATCCCTACATCTGATGATTCTCTAGGCTTCCACCCTCTTGATGGTTAAGGAAAAGGTGAAGTCGCCCATGTTGGCGAAATTTTCCATCCACCAGGCCCAGCAGGCTCCCGCGCCCGTTGCTGCACATGGCGTCCTTGGCCTTGACGCGGATCACTGGGCAGAAGGGAGAAATCCTGCGACGAGTCGCCCGATGGTGGAGAAACTGAGGAATTGGGAGCTTGCGACTTCACCTTTTTCATCAAAAATGGGGTGGAAGCCTAGAGAATCATCAGATGTAGGGATATGTAGGGATGTACCCTCTGGAAATTGAACATAACTATTGAAAATGGCCATTTAGTTCCTTGATTTACCCATGAAAAATGGTGGATCTTTCCATCATTTTTTGTTTGTTTACCAGGCCGGGTATTTTCTGGAAGTGTTTGGATTCTACAAAGTGGGGCCCCCGTTTACTATAGCTAAGTTGGTGAACACAACTCCAATGTCACATATGGTTTATGGTACTTATAACTATAGCTATTGGGGCTTAAAAACCAACTAACATCACTGGGGGCCCCACATTGTACCAACCTGACACATAATTTGCAGGGCTGATTTCCCCTTGACCAGAAACATCCATCGACTTTTCCCCGTGACATCACGTTGAGTTGTGCGTCCCTGGAAATGAGAAAAAATGCTGATCGTATCCCTAAGTTCAGTCACCTACTTAGATGGGCCATAGGATTAGCGATTCCTGGTTAGTAACTGGGGTTATAACCCCCTATATCCCAATTATAATCCATTTACTAACTAGTTAATTAGCTCCATGGCCCATCTAAGTAGTCTTCTGTTTCACAATTTAACGACGCCCCGGAAACCACCCAATACGTATGAAACTCCCATAGTCACTGCTGGAATCCCTCAAAAGAAGGATTTTCCAATGCCGAACTGGAAAACCGTCAGCAGATAAATCATCTACAAACATGACAATTGTCCGTAGCGACCCTCCGGCAATCACACGTGGTCTGCTTGAAAGTCCTTCATTTATAGATGATTTTTCCCACCTAGAAACCTCCATTTATCGGGATTTTTACAGCTATAGCCACGTTTGATGACATCAGAGGCTTCAAAAGCACCATTCAAACCCCAAAAAACCATAGAATTCACCAAACTATAGAAATCACCAAACCATCAGAGGACTTGTGACATTAGTCATATCCCCCACAAACCATAGAATTCACCATAGATTTCACCGGAAATCCCGTCCGCATCTGCGTCTCGCGCGGCAAAGCGCGAAATAATGGAGCCGTAGGGAACCACCTGCGCAGTTTTTCCCCTGATCAATGGATTGGTTTAAGGGAATCGATATACAGTATATATAGATATACATATATACATATATAATTCCAGGTGATATGTCAGAAACTATATCCCAGGTTTCCAACAAAGGATATTGGAGGATAATGACTGTAATGGTTGGATAATGTTGGCTAATATCCATCTATTACCATTCTCCAACCATAGAATATCCCAGATGCGAACCATGGTGCTGGAATATGCACACCAACATTTGCCCGAACAAAATAACCCAGTTTTGTAGGTAAAAATCACCCAGCACCATGGTTCGCATCTGGGAATGGATTGGTTTAAGGGAAAAAAAAATCAGGAAAACCCCATGATTTTCATGGGAAAATCGATGGTTTCCGGTTCAGATTTTCCCAACAAAACCAATCCATTGACCTGATGTCTGGAAATGGGACCACCTATGACTACTGTAGTTCAAATGAGAAAATGATGATTTACACTGATTTACCATGTTTTTTTTGGGGGGTATCCTATTTTCGGACAAACCCATATGTTTCTGAGTTGGTTTATAGCTCTAAGATTTATGGATTTCTATACCTATGTGAATATGATTGAATATTGTATCTGTTTAATCAGTTTTACATTATTTAAATGATTATATCCCGTTTTTTTTCAGTGGGATATGTAGGGCTAATCCACTTACAACTAGGGTGAATGAACTAGCCTACTTACTAAGTGGGATGAGCCAGCAAGTATTTGAATGATTCTAAACATTGCTTTTTTGGGGGTATGTACCATTTTCAGAGCCATGTCTTATAAGTTTGTTTAGAACTTCAATCACTCAGATTTATGGTAACCATGTGTACCTGGTAAAAGCTAGATCAGCAAAAAACCATCCCAAAGCCTTTAAGAGTGACACTCTCTAATCACATGGATCTCCAATTGTTCACCGTTTTTCTCTTCAAAAATCGTTTGAATGTTTATTTTCCCTTTCCCTTGAAAAAATAGGTCTACCCTCTGGTAAATTAACATAACTATGGAAAGATCCAGCATGTTCAATGTCTAAATCATCTATTTCTATGGCCATTTTCAATAGCAAACTGTTAGTCATTACCAGAGGGTAAATGCTATATGTTCCAATATATATATATATATAAAATTCCCAATATATGGAAAAATAAAATTCTCAAGTTCCAAACCACGTAACCAGATATTCACATCATGTCATTTCCCCTTTTTTAAAATCTCTGTTCTTCTGAACCGCATCGAACCCCGAAAGGGTTCTGTCTGAACGAGACAACACAACACCGATGGAGCTGGGAGCACCTGGGCATCAGAATAAGCCGCTGGCAAAGCTGCCTTCAGCTCGGCTGCGAAAGGCACCTCAAGGGGCTTTTGAGTACCCGGCCTGGTAATGACATTCAGAGTTTGCGAACTTGAAAATGCTGTTTTAATGGGATATATGATGGTGGTTCAATGGGTTTTTTTGGGATATATGATGGTATACCATATATGTTGGTGGTTATAACCATCTGGTAAACATACCATAGGCCTTTAAAAAAGGCCATATATATGATAGGGATATCCAGGGATGTACCCTCTGGTAATGACTAACAGTTTGCTATTGAAAATGGTGTTTTAATGGGATATATGATGGTGATTCGATGGGATTTAATGGGATATATGATGGTATACCCTCTGGTAATGACTTTCACAGTTTGCGAACTTGAAAATGGCCCAGTCGAAATAGCTGATTTACCGTTCTTAACAATGGTGGTTTTCCATAGCTATGATAGTTTACCAGAGGGTAAGAAAAATGAGGAAACCTTTGAAGATTTTTTGGAGATTTATGCAGGGTGGTGCCCCAGTTCTTGAACGCTAAGTTGGTTTATAAGTCCAATGGCACTATGGTTTTTGTTGGTGATATATCTATAGTTAATGGAATTATTATCCATTTATAACTGGGGGGGCACCACCTTCTGGGAATATCCACGGAATATCCATGGAATATCACTAAGAGGACTTCTGGTAAACCAACAGAGCTATGTGAAATCGCCATGTTTAATGGGTAAATCAGCTATTTCTATGGCCATTTTCAATAGCTATGTTAAATTACCAGAGAGTATTTCATCCAGTTGTGCCTCCCAATTATTGTAAGAAATACATCTAAATACAGTAAACTACCATGTAAAACAAGATCTTCAATAGCTAAAATCGAGAACATAAAAAAAAAAACATCTTCAGCAAGTCAAAGATTGCTTCTAGTAGAACACAGAGACATTGCTCCGAAGGGTAAGACTCCGACTCCACCCTTGGATCCCATGGATTTGCTGAACCCCGGGTAACCCATGGGACTTTTCCCTGGCGGATCATCCCTTGGTTCGTTCACCCGAGTTTTTTCGGAGAAATTTTGGGTTACCATCATCCACTGAAAAAAAAAAACTGAGGCGTTAAAATTCCCCACTAAAAATGATGGTTATGGCATGTTATGGCTAGGCTACCACTATGATATCATAGGATATGTGTTCAATAAGTAGGGCTGAGCATCGAAAAAACTCGGGTGAACTACTTACAGTAGATGGGCCATGGAGTTAGGGAAAACTAGTTAGTAAATGGCTTATTTCATGGGGATTTTGGGGGGTAAACTAACCCCAGTTACTAACTAGTTATCAATGGGAATTTCAGGATCCTAAAATGGAGGTACCTACCATAGAAAAAAGGCCTATTTTTTAGGCCTAAATTTCAGGGAATATACCCACAATTCATATAGCCAAACATATGGTACGTTTACGTAGCTCCATCAATTTAGGATCCTGGAATGACCATAAATTGAATTGATATTCCACTATAACTCACATTAAAATCCCATAAAATCACTATACATTTCATGAAAAATCATCTGGGTTTTCCATGGTTTTCCATGGTTTCCAGAGGGTACTCCATGGCCCATCCAAGTACTGACCATCCATGGGATCAATCTCCATGATCCCATGATTTGCTTAGGAGTTACTTAAAATCTTAAGGAACCTCCCAACAAAAATGACCATAGTTGGGATATAAGCCTATAATCAATGGATTATAGCTATTATACATCTGGGTAAATGATCATATTTCACTAACCTCACAATAAAAAATGTACAATTTATATGTTTTTCCCTATTGCTTCAAGAGAACATCTTAACCGGAAACCATTGATTTTCCTATGACGTATGTTGTTTTTCTGTAGATTTTCCCCTAAACCAATCCATTCACCCTATCGATTCCCACATCTTCAGAGGCCTCTCGGTTCCACTCGCTGGGGCGAAGTGGAGCCAATAGAGCTTCCAACGCCTGGAAGAAATGGGATGCAGCTTCATCAATGTCAGCCATCTGGGTAAATTATAATATTTCACTAACCTGAATTAAGGCCATTTGGGGATGATTTCCCTTACTAACCATGATTTCCAGTGAGGGAGAACAGTGAGGTCGTTATAATTTACCCAGAGCCATGTTGAAAAACTATTTTTGATGGAGCTTCAATGGTGGAAGAATGGAAACGATCAGAAGCGATCTGATCTTTTCCAGTACACTTCGGGATTTCACCGAACAAGGTGAAAGATTGGTGATACATGTGATACTTCATGGGAAATCATGGAGTACCAGTGGGATAGTTTCATTGATTATCCCTCTGGTAATGACTAACATATAGCGAACTTGAAGCCATGGCCCAGTCAAAACGGTTTTCTGAATACCCATTTTGCACATGGTGGATCTTTCCAGTTCGTTATCTTAGTTAATCACCATTTTTCATGGGAAAATCCACTATAAATCACCATTTTCCATGGGAAAATCCACTATAAATCACCATTTTCCATGGGAAAATCCAGGCCGGGTATAATAGCCTTCGGTGTCCTCGTTGTCCTTCGTTTAAACCGATGGATTAAACCGGGGATTTTCCACGTTCGAAAAATCCGGGTACTCTTCGGCCAGTGGCCATCATGTTACCCTCTGGTAAACATACAAAAACCTATGGAAAATCACCATTTTTAATGGGAAAACTCACTATAAATGGCAATGTTCAATAGCTATGTTAAATTACCAGAGGGTAAGAAAAATGAGGAAACCTTTGAAGATTTTTTGGAGATTTATGCAGGGTGGTGCCCCAGTTCTTGAACGCTAAGTTGGTTTATAAGTCCAATGGCACTATGGTTTTTGTTGGTGATATATCTATAGTTACTATGGTTTATGGTAGATATAGCTATAGTTCATGGGGGTTTTGTTATGGTTTATAAACCAACATTCACATCACTGGGGCACCACTTCATGGTTTTGTTGGTTATATATCTATAGTTAATGGAATTATTATCCATTTATAACTGGGGCACCACCTTCTGGGAATATCCACGGAATATCCATGGAATATCACTAAGAGGACTTCTGGTAAACCAACATAACTATGGAAAGATCCACCATGTTTGATGTGTAAATCAACTATAAATGGCAATGTTCAATAGCTATGTTAAATTACCAAAGGGTATTTCATCCAGTTGTGCCTCCAAATCATTACGTGTAAAAAATACATCTAAATGCAGTAAACTACCATAGATATATGTAAAACAAGCTGTTCAATTGGTAAATCATGGAACTAAAATGGGCCATACCAGAGCAAACTCTTGAATTTTTGAGAGGGTAGACAAGTTTAGAGCCTACACAAAATCATGATATCTGCCTTCCATGGGTTCCAAAGGTGGCTGATAGTGTTCAACCCATCCCCCAAAGGAGGTTGGTAAATTGGGGTCAACAAACTACAACAGAAATGGAAAACCCCGAACCCAACTTTTTACGGCATGACATGGGCTACAAGGCGGTCTCGTTACTTTTTGTTGGTTTATAGAACCTCCCGAAATATGGAGATCTGTGCCATAAACCATGGAATTCACCGAGGTTTTTCATTGCACACTTAGCTATGTTCAAGTCTAAACATCATCGTCCAGATCTTGTCTGGTTGGTGGTTGAGCCCTACCCCTCTGAAAAATGATGGAGTTAGTCAGTTGGGATTATGAAATTCCTAACTGAATGGAACAAAACATGTTCCAGAAACCACCAACCAGTTGTAAAATTCCATGTTCAATGTGGTAGAGCCAATGAAATAAATCATCCCCAAGCCTAGTGGGTGGTATGAACCCATAATTTTATAGGTCTATGGCCCCTATGGCATTGGCTTTACCACGTTATTCCTCAAACATATCCAGAGTTCCAGAGTTCCACGGATCCAGGTAGGTAAATCATCACTGTAAATGGCAGGTCTTCCATAACTATGTTAAATTACCAGAGGGTACAGCCTAAATTAAACATGGAATTGAACATCGCTATGGACAATTGTAATTTACTGTACATATGACTTACCTAAGAAATACAGAGGTTTCCTAACATAGGGGGTAATTTCGATCGGATTTTCCTTTATAATCATTTATAAACCATCCAGATATGGGGGTACCCCCATGGTAGAAAACCTCCATGACTGGTGACTTTCAATAACTATGTGGAGACAGGTCAAAGCCTGTTATTCCCATATTTGGGGGGGATTATCATCCATTAACCAGCTATTTTAGGGTACCTAGGGTACCAGGCTTGTGACCCATAACCACTTTTTCTCTACTTTGTGATTGCTGCATACGTTCATGCTTGGCTCTTGCAAACGTGCTATCTGTAGAAATCCGGCTGTACAGTGGATGAATATCCACAAAATCATTGACCCATAACCATGTTACCCGGCCTGGTAAACATACAAAAAGATATGAACAGATCCACCATTTTTAATGGCTGAATCCACTATTTCTATGGCCATTTTCAAGTTCGCAAACTGTTAGCCATTACCAGAGGGTACATCCCTAGATATCTCTATCATATATATGGCCTTTTTTAAAGGCCTATGGTATGTTTACCAGATGGTTATAACCACCAACATATATGGTTTACCGTATACATACCATCATATATCTCATGAAATCCCATTGAATCACCACCATATATCCCATGAAAACGCCATTTTCAATAGCTTTTTGTATGAATCACCAGGCCGGGTAACTCACCAGGCCGACTTCATCCGCTGTGTGTCTTCGATCCGATCCGCCTGCGAAGCTTCTTCCGTGCACCAGAAAGGACATGGAGCGATCTGCGTCGATCCAACTTCCTGGGGGGAACGGATGATACCTGTCTTCCATGAAAGTTCTACCCACATCCCATGAAACGTCAACAAATTGTGGCCTATAAATGGATAATAAATGGTTATAATATACTTAAGGTTATCTCATCCCACTTAGTAAATAGGTTATATCTCTGATTCTAAATGGGATAAGTCTAGTAGCTGGTTGGTGGTATACCTACCCCTCTGAAAAATATGAGTTCGTCAGTTGGGATGATGACATTCCCAACTGAATGGAAAGTCATAAAATTCATGTTCCAAACCACCAACCAGTATGGTTGATAAATGGTTATAACGTGTAAGAACTGTAATAGTAAATATTCCTAGTATTGTGGGTTACTTCACAATCCCCCATGTTTGAATAACCGCCAAAACATATTGCAAGATGTTTTTGATGGCGCACATTATACAAAACACCAGGGATTTTGTGAAACACGTGTTAAATGGTCAAATTTTGGGGATTCAATGATAAAACATGATCGACCATTGGTGATAGAACATAATCAAACAAAATCAAACACATGATTTTTGTTTACCACCCAAACATGGACAAACATAGGGTTTTAACCACAAACACATATGTTTATGCATGGTTATGCCCTCGTAATTAAACACATGTGGATGTGCGCCAAGGATAGCCCAATGAATGACACATATTCACAATAGATTCCCTATTTGAGGTGGATAAAGCTGTTGTAAAATGAACAGATCCCTTGTTAATCTTGGATTTTCTGATTCGGGATCCCCAAAAAGTAAAAACATATTCACTTCACCGATTCCCCAGTTCTGGTGGATTTCCTATTGTGAAAATAAGCCAAATCACCGACGAAATAAAACCCAGTAATGGAAAGGCTCAAGTTTCCATGAGACATCACGGAACATCATCCAAAAAATTGATCCCAAGCAACACAATATGAACAGGCTGAGCAGGTTTCAAACGCAACAGGGATGTGCAGAACCTATTCTTGGTGAATAATCCAAGTGAACCATGGTCTTCCAAGATAATATCCATATAGTCCATATATACTTGAACAAATTATTTAAAACATAACCATAGGACCATATCCATACCATTAAACCCCATATATTTGGATTATGTTGTGTTCCATCATGTTCCATCCATGTTCAGATAAACCTGAATTGAATTTTTTTGTCAAACATATTCCATGATGGTTGGCTAAAAAAACACGCTTTTCAACACACAAGTTACCCTCTCATAAAGTATAACATATAGATGTGGAAAATCTTAAAGGGGCAGTTCCGAACGGGACACCATGGCTTTTCCACATCTCTTTGTATGTTTTAGCCCTTTTTGTACATCCTAATTCCATGGGAAGAGACACCCCAGTCATGGGGGCATCACCTTGTATTTTCCATCGCTATTATCATAAGGATTATTGTTTATGCCATTCTTGTTGGTTGATTATATCTCATTTTCCCTGTTGAATCTGGTTGGCAAATGTTGCTTATTCATGCGATGTCGATGCCTGCCCACTGATAAGAATTAGCCTCTTATCCTGTGATTTCCGGTTATAAGTTATACTTTGTAACTCGTATGCTTTTATATCCATTTAGAATTTAGAAACACCATTGCACTAGAGCCTGGGCTATTATATCCCTATATCATTGTTCTATTCTTGTTCTTAGCCAATTCTTTCCATATTCTCCGATGAATCATTGATTTCAATAATCAACATATACTGTGTCCCAAGGTATCAATTTCCATTATATCCCTTGAATTTCCTATTTGATCCCTCTATTTGACTTATATTTCCCAGATGCGAACCTTGGTGCTGGAATATGCACACCTACAAAACTGGGACATAAAAATGGGGTAAATGTAGGTGTGCATATTCCAGCACCATGGTTCGCATCTGGGTATTGCTTTTCTATCATTAGCCATATTAAAATCCATCTATAATGTTGGTAATGATTATTCCCAATATATGGAAAAAATACTTTACTTCGTGTGATCCCCACCATGACATTTATACATTCTCTTACTGGCAAATCTTCTGGCATTCTATCTGACATATCTTCTGACATTCTATTTGGCATTCTATCTGGCATATCTTCTGGCATATGATCTGGCATATCTTCTGGATTCTATCTGGCAAATCTTCTGGCATTCTATCTGGCATATCTTCTGGCACTCTATCTGACATATCTTCTGGCATTCAATCTGGCATTCTATCTGGCATATATTCTGACATATCTTCTGGCATTCTATCTGACATATCTTCCGGCATATATTCTGACATATCTTCTGGCATATCTTCTGGCATATCTTCTGGCATATCTATCTGGCATATCTTCTGGCATATTCTCTGGCATTCTATCTGGCAAATCTTCTGGCATTCTATCTGGCATTCTATCTGGCATATCTTCTGGCATATTATCTGGCATTCTATCTGGCATATCTTCTGGCATATATTCTGACATATCTTCTGGCATTCTATCTGGCATTCTATTTGGCATTCTATCTGGCATATCTTCTGGCATATCTTCTGACATTCTTTCTGACATTCTTTCTAACTTTCTTCTGCACATTCTTTGTCCCATATCTTCCTACATGAGGTCCGGCAGGGAACACTTGGCGTGGATACTCGCGGTTGAGGTCCGGCAGGGAACACTGGGCGTGGATGGCCGTGGTTGAGGTCCGGCAGGGACCACTGGGCGTGGATGGCCGTGGTTGAGGTCCGGCAGGGAACACTGGGCGTGGATGGTCGTGGTTGAGGTCCGGCAGGGAACACTGGGCGTGGATGGTCGTGGTTGAGGTCCGGCAGCGAACACTGTGGATCGCGAGTCGCAGTTGAGCAGGAGGACGAGGAGGACAACGAGAGGAGGACGACGAGAGGAGGAGGAGAGGAGGAGAGGAGGAGGCAGGCAGGAGGAGGAGAAGGCAACTTAGATAAAATCTAACAACCCTCACCTGGCAGGTGGGGAAAAAACATGTTCCAAACATTTCCAAACCACCAATCAGTTAATTACTATTTGACTTATATTTGTTTCCCCAAATTCCACATGGGTTTTATACCCTACCGGGCCGCGTCTCGGAGTCTCCTTCGCTGCCACCGCCACCACGGGCCGCGGTGGTAAGGTCTGCTCCGGGCCACGTGGCCTGAGGCGTCAAGGGTTAAGGCTTTGGCAAGGTCACTGGAAGGCTTTGGAAGTGTGGAGCAAAACATTGAATATACTGTTAATATACTGTTAATATATCGGTTTATCATGTTAAATATACTGTTAATATACTGTTAATATATCGGTTTATCATGTTAAATATACTGTTAATATACTGTTAATATATCGGTTTATCATGTTAAATATACTGTTAATATACTGTTAATATATCGGTTTATCATGTTAAATATACTGTTAATATACTGTTAATATATCGGTTTATCATGTTAAATATACTGTTAATATACTGTTAATATATCGGTTTATCATGTTAAATATATTGTTAATATACTGTTAATATATCGGTTTATCATGTTAACTATACTGTTAATATACTGTTAATATATCGGTTTATCATGTTAAATATACTGTTAATATACATGTTAATATATCGGTTTATCATGTTAAATATACTGTTAATATACTGTTAATATATCGGTTTATCATGTTAAATATACTGTTAATATACTGTTAATATATCGGTTTATCATGTTAAATATACTGTTAATATACTGTTAATATATCGGTTTATCATGTTAAATATACTGTTAATATACTGTTAATATATCGGTTTATCATGTTAAATATACTGTTAATATACTGTTAATATATCGGTTTATCATGTTGAATATACTGTTAATATACTGTTAATATATCGGTTTATCATGTTAAATATACTGTTAATATACTGTTAATATATCGGTTTATCATGTTGAATATATTGTTAATATACTGTTAATATATCGGTTTATCATGTTAAATATACTGTTAATATACTGTTAATATACTGTTAATATACTGTTATACTGTTAATATATCGGTTTATCATGTTAAATATACTGTTAATATACTGTTAATATGGAGTTTATCGTTTGATCATGTTTAATATACTGCTTGAACCAAAAAAACATGTGGAAAATTCTGGAAAGCATCAAGAAAAGTGACCAGCTAAATTGGGATCTAAGCAATAAAAATGAAGGTTTGAACCACTGGCCAACTATATAACCCAATCTCGGATCCACTAACCAATCCACTCTGGAATCCAACTCCGAATCGTCATCAGGAATCATTGTCTGTATGGCCATGTTCAATAGTTTTTTGTATGTTTACCAGAGGGTAATGATAGAAAAGCAATAGTAAAACAATACCCAGATGCTCCATGGTGCTGGAATATTTACCTACAAAACTGTGCCATAAAAATGGGGTAAATGTAGGTAAATATTGCATATATGGAGCATCTCTGGGTAATCTGGAGGGAAATAAAAACTCGCAATATGTCTAAAATCTCCTCATTTAGTGACATGTTCAATACGGTGCTTGCAGTTTTAGAATAAACTCATTGCCAATCTTAGATACCCTGAAAAAAATGACAAATTCTTTGCTGGTTAGTAGATATTCCCATAAATACCAAACGACTAAAGGATTAAAGTATCCATGTAAGATTGACCTAGAACTTGATTTATATAGTTGGACAAAAATATGATGAACCATCAAATCTGTGGCTTTTCCTCTCATTTTTCAGGTATACCAAAACCATCCCTATGGATCCATGGCCACTGTCTGAGAAGGTACGGCTAAGCCTCCTTAAATTATAGTAAATCATACCCCAGTCCCACTTCCTTTCAGAAGGTACAATTGGATCCATAGGGATATATATATAATATAATATATATATAATATTATATATTATAAATAATATATTATATATTATATATTTTATATTTTATATATATATATATATTTATATAACCTACGTTAACCGAGGGCTTGGATCCATAGGGCATCCAAAAGCCACGGTTTTTTTTTCCCACCCGAGCCGCGGCAAATCTCCTCACCCCTTGAGCCCTTCCTCGGCGAGGCAATGGAGCCGGAGTCGGATTGAAACCTGAGAATGGCCGACGGGTCCAATTTTTTGGGCCGCAGCAAGCTGGGCACGTTACATGGACTGATCATCGATTGACACTATAATAGTTATATAAATACAACAATATATTATAATATATAATGTTTGTTGTATTTTTTCATTTAATACTATAATACTATATATATATAAAACAAAAACTACAACAAATTCTATAATTGGTTGACAATAGATGAATTGCTGAGATAAAAAAAACATTTCACTAACCTTACAATCATATTGTGGATCTCATCTTTGGACCCTGAGAAACCCAAGCCCCTCAGCCGCCGACGCAAAGTCCAGGTGCCGCTCCAAGCGTTCGGCAATGCTGCGTCGCAGCTGCGAAGTGATCTGGCTAGGCCGCGCGGTCCTCGGTGAAGGGGGTTTTGCAAGAAAACATGGGACGTTTGGCGATGGTAAAATGGTGGTTTTATCAAGAAAAATGGAAAATGTTTGACCATGAAACATCTGTTTTTAAGCGGGGAAAATGATTAGTTGACCATGAAATTTTCCAATTTTACATGATTTTACCATGAAACTCCAGATCAAACCATCAGAAATGGAGAGTTTTTGTTACAAGAAGTGAGTGATTCAGCCGTCATGGGATGGAAATGTTGCGATTGATCACGATCTTTTGGAGATCACGATCTTATCTTGCTCAAAAACTTAGATAGGCCATGGAATTAGTTAATTAGTTGGTAAATGGCTTATAATTGGGATATAGGGGGTAAACTAACCCCAGTTACTAACCAGGAATCGCGTTTTTCCTATGGCCCATCTAAGTATTTCACAGCCCCGAATAAAACCATCATTTGGTATGGGATAACTGATCTGGGATCCATAGAACGTCCTTTTCTGAAGCAATAAGTTGGTAGGGGTATATAGTATATGTTTGCATAACATATACCCGGCCTGATAAACATACATAGATAGCTATTGAAGCCATGGCCATTGAAATAGTGGATTTATCATTAAAAATGGTGGATCTTTCCATAGTTATGTTAGTTTACCGGAGGGTATATATATATATATATACACATGTTTTAAATATATAATATTGAATATCAATTAGCACCATTATTTACAGTAATATATACACACACCTATTATCCGTTATCTATCGTCATCTATGAAAGAAACATGTATAACACTAATTTCCAAGATTGACATTAATTATAAATTTATATATAACAATAATAATAACAAATAATGTTTTTTAAAAAATAATAAAAACCAATTACAATAATAACAACATATATTATATCGTTCACTGCTTGTTCGCATTTCTTCGCTCACTGTCCTGAACATGCTTGGCCGCACACATTCATCTGGCACTTCCTGGCACTTTCATCATTTATGGTCCAGTTATGGTCCATATTACCCCAGTGGATGTATATATATATACTATAAATATATATGTACATCTACCGGGGTTCCAGGTAAATGAAGGGATTATAGACAATTATAGATAATTATAGTACATGTATCGAAGTTTTTTGTAGTTAGATGGGCTGAATTCAAAGCTTCAACATTTTGTTGTCCCAGGGTCCCAGGTTGGGTTCGCCACATTCCATGAATGTGTCATGGAGAAAACATGGGATGAATTTCAAAAACCCACCTGAATATACCTGAATGGGATTCCTGATACTGTGCATATCTGGTTGGTGGTATACCTAACATAGCTATGGAAAATGGCCCATAGAAATAGATGATATACCCATTGATAATGGTGGATCTTTCCATAGTTTTTTTGTATACCAGGCCGGGTAATATACTACAATGTGAGGCCCCACAGTTATAAGTCGGTTTATAAGCCCCAGTAACTAGTTCGTTATAAGTACCATAAACCATAGTTATTGGAGTTATAAACCAACTTAGATATCTTGGGGGCCTCACATTGTAATATACTGCACATATAAATCTCTACTTGAGGTAGAGATGACCATCCCCTTTCGGAAAAGAATCAGGGCTCATCTCGACTGGATCCAGCGCCCTTGCCAACTTTAAGTCCCAAACATTCTTTTCTGGCACGCATGACCTAAATTTGCTTGGAATATCCTCCAACCAAATCAAGTGTAATGTCAACCCTGGATTAATAAACCCCTAGGCTGTTCAATTGGGAAGGTACCATTTCAGTATCAAATCATACCTATTGGGGGAATACCCCCTAATTAATAAACAATGGTTTATTAATCCGGGGTTGACATTATTATTTAGATGGAACAAAACATGTCATTTTGCCGAATTACCTAGGGCTTAAAATCATGAATTATCAAAGTTTCACACCCAACTTCCCTTGTGATTTTCTGATGCTTCGCCATCCATCGCTTGTTCCTCATTGGGGTTCCACCCTGGCTTTTTACATTGAGAAATCCTGAAAAATGATGTCCTGGAACCCAGTCTTCCGAGCGAAAAAAACGAACGAAAAAAAAAAAAAAACAGAACCGTCCATTTTGAGGTGTCCTACGTCATGGGGGGTACCCCCAAATCATCCATTTTCATCGTGACTTTTCCATGAAAACAGAGCCGTCCATGTACAGAAACCTCGTCCACAAACTCGTGCAGCAGTACGGCAACGGCTCGACGATGTTCCTGGTAGCGATGGAAAGGTTGGCGAAAAAGCCGAAACCAACTCAGCCACCCGAAAAAATCATGTGCATGGGACATCATGTGATGAGAAAATGCCATAAAATGCTCCATGGTGCTGGAATATTTACCTACAAAACTGTGCCATTTGATGGGTAAATCTAGGTAAATATTCCATACATGGAGCATCTGGGATATCCAAAAATCATGGAGAAACGGCAAATTGTCAATGGGAAATTTCAGGATCCTAAAATGGAGGTACGTTAGTACCATATGTTTGGCCATATGAATTGTGGGGATATTCCCTGAAATTTAGGCCCAAAAAATAGGCCTTTTTCTATGGTGGGTACCTCCAATAAATCGGTTCCTGTTGCATGGCCATTGAAGATATGTTCATCAAACAAAATGAAGATATGTTCACCAGCTTAACGTTTGGCTTTTACATATACTACACTTAGAGCATCTGGGATATCCAAAAATCATGGAGAAACGGCAAATTTTCGGATGAATCAAGCCACCCAAAACGTCTACGGCAAATCCATGAGAATTTCTCGATGATTTTCCCAGGAACATCCAGATACCTAGACCCTCCAAGCACCAAAAATGCTAACGGTACTACAGGATGGTGCCCCCCTACGAAAAAATGTTGGTTTATAGTTACATTATACCTATAGTTACATCTACCATCAACCATAGTTAAGGCAGTTACAAGTTGATTTGGCTATTTTGGGGGGCCGCATCCTCTAAGATTGAGGTACAACACCAATTTTGAGACTACTCAAGGACAGTTGGACGGTCAAAATGTCTACACGACGTCATGGTGCTTGAAATCGACCGGTCAGGTGCTCCCCGGCGTCACTCAAACAGGCCATGGTTGCCCCACCACTTTCGAGCGCACGAACCACCGAATTACCTCGGGCGTTGCTTCTTTCGGGGGATCCGGGAAATCGATTTGGAAAGATTGTGTCACCAACGATATCTAAGTTGGGGTTCACATCACTCCAATAATAACTATGGTTTATGGTACTTGTAACTATAGATATCTAAGTTGGTTTATAACTCCAATGTCACTATAACTATGGTTTATGGTACTTATAACATCTTATAATTATAGTTACTGGGGCGAATCTAAACCAACTAACATCACTGGGGGGCCTCACATTGAACGATTCGAATCTTTGGGGAATCAAGAAAGAAAAACAAGAACGAACATCACTTGTAACGATTATATTAATTATTGTCGTTTAATTCTTTAAATTCACTGGAATATTGGAGGTGTCCTGAAATAGGGATACCCCTACAATGTGAGGCCCCCCAGTGATGATAGTTGGTTTATAAGCCCCAGTAACTATAGTTATAAGATGTTATTACCATAAACCATAGTGACATTGGAGTTATTTGCACCAACTTAGATATCTTGGGGGCCTCACTTTGTAATACATCAATATCATTTATAGGGATACCCCTAGTTATCATTCATTTTATTTTCGGAATGACCATTTTAAATAAACCAACCAGCGAGCTTGGGGCTATTGGGGATCCAACATGACTATATGGAAATCAGTTATAAATGGGGTATAATCCCATTAACTATAGATATCTATATATATATATATCACCTATAAACATCTATAAACCATATAGTTGTTGGAGTTATTTTAGCACCAACGAATCGCGTTCTCGAAGAGAACGGCAGCACCCTGTATACATTCCAGGTCCGTTTTGGGATCATCGAAGGCGGAAGTGGAGCACCATAGGGAGTGTCATCGATTTCTGAAGGATTCATCCTAGGGATCGGTTAAAGTTGGTTGTATAAATGGATAAATATATACATATGGCAATGTGTCAAAACCTTGTACCCCTGGTGAACATCAAAATAGCTGGTAAATGGATGTTCATCCCACTAAAAATGGTATTAATAGGTATTGATCCATACCCATATGAATATATATATATATACATATATCCCTATGGATCCAGTTGTACCTTCTGAAAGGAAGTGGGACCGGGCTATAATTTACTATAATTTGGAGGGTTAGCCGTACCTTCTCAGACAGTGGCCATGGATCCATAGGGATTGTCATGGATTTCTGAAGGCTATCCAGAATTTAAGATTACCCTACGGTAAACTGGGAATACCCCAAAATTGTCATGTTCCATGCATGAATGGCTAAAAATTATAAAAGACATTGTTTTAAACAAGTCGAAACCACAGCAATGTTGGGTTACAGTTTTTGAGACACTGCAGACGAGCAGCAGGTGGGTGTTGTCTTCGGCAGCTTTTTGTCAGTCATCAGCTTCAACTTGGAGTTGCAAGGCACATTTAAAAGCAGGATCCGGGGTTAATAATTGGGGTTCAACCAACAAGAACTGTGGTGGCGTTATTTTAGTAACTATATACAAAAACAATAGTTGGCCATAATTCAACAATAACTATACATATATATATATGATTTCTCCAGACATACAATATCTGGTTGGTGGTATACCTACCACTCTGAAAAATATTAGTCAGTTGGGATTTTTATTCCCAACTGAATGGAAAAATAATACATTCATGTTCCAAACCACCAACCAGATATTGTTGTTTCCCCTCGTCAACCGAATTCAGCAAGTGAGTTCTGTGCGTCGAGCTTTCGAATTGGGGCCTCACATTTTAGGATTTTCTCGCCATGTTCCAACCGATTGAATATCCATGTTTTTCTGTCATATGCTGGATGTAATATTTCAATATCCAAGAATCTGGAATTTCAATGGTTACTATCATATAATGGATGTAATATGTCAATATCCAAATAGTAACCATTGAAATGGGAAGGTGGAATCATAAGAATATTACTATTGGATCATCTTCCAATAATATATGATCATTACTATATGGAATAAAAACCATATAAGGCTGTATGAATTGTGGGGATATTCCCTGAAATTAGGCCTAAAAAATATGCATTTTTTCTATGGTAGGTACCTCCAATCAATCGGTTCCTAAAATGGCCATTGATTGAACCTGGATTATTCAATATATATATATATATATATTAATCTTATCCAATCATTACTATATTAATGATTTTACAACAATATTAATTCCATGAATCTTATCCAATAGTAAGCATTACTATTGAACCAACCTCTTGGATTCACCCAAAAAAGTTACCCTGTTCAGTACAAAACACCTCATTTTCCCGATATATATATATATATATACATATATGTATATATTACACATGGGCACTATATATTACTATATGTTTACATATAGTACTATACTATATTGTATACATACATTAATAAATACATGTAATATGATATAATATAATATGATATCATAAAATAATATGATATATTATAATATCTTGCTACATATATATATATTCACTATTATTCATACTTAACGGGTTATTAATATTAATATCATAGAACGATACATACAATAGTTTAGTAATAATATGTATCTAAAATCATCTATACAGATATCCACTACTGTTCATAGATACATAGTGGACATAGTGGACAAAATCATAGTAACATAAAGAATCATAGTAAATGATATTGATGTATTGATACATACAATGTGGGGCCCCCAAACGATAGCTAAGTTGGTGTATAAGTCCAATAACTATGGTTTACGATACGCAAAAAACTATAGTATTCATGGGGTTGATAAACAATCTTATAACTGGGGAGCCTCACATTGTAGATATTTACCGTCCATTAACATCCATTGGCTATCATTAATATCCATTAACATTGACTATAGACATATCATCCATTGATTTATTTCTATATTAACATCCATTAACGTCCATTAACATCCATGAACATCCATTGTATCCATTCACCCACAGCAAATTATATATCAATGGATGTAATAATTATACATATATATATATATATATATGGATGTAATAGTTTTCGATATACATAGTGTATCAATGCTTTTTTTCTACGCTATTAGATACTATATTTATAATTGGTGATGTAATAATTATAGATGTAATTCATAATATATCTATTGCATGCAATCTGATTATAGATATTACATCTGTTGCGCAGATGTATAACATCAATTACATCACATTACAGTGCTATATCATTATATATCAATGGATGTAATAGTATTATAATAATAATAAATAATATCAATTCATGCAATTATTATTGTCAATACATATACATATTCTTACTATCATTTGATCTAATTGCAATGGATAGTTGATATATACTACTATAGGTACTATTATTATTATTATTACAATGTGAGGCCCCCCAGTGAATTTAAAGAATTTAACGACAATAATTAATATAATCGTTACAAGTGATGTTCGTTCTTGATTTTCTTTCTTGATTCCCCAAAGATTCGAATCGTTCAATGTGAGGCCCCCCAGTTATAAGTTGGTTTAGATTCGCCCCAGTAACTAGTTCTTATTTGCGTACCATAAACCAGTTCGTGACATTGGAGCTTTGCACCAACGAACAGATATCGTGGCCGGGGGCCTCAGATTGTACGTATCAATATTTGATATATACTATTGTTATACTATTTGCTGTTTTTCGCACAGCACTCATAGGCGTTGACATGCCTATTCCGTGAAGTATTGGCTGAAAAGAGCCGCGGAGCGAGATTCATGAGGCGTTGAACACCCCTCCTTGTCCAATCGATTCCAGTGACTCTTCATATCCTACTTGAGCACTTCTACCGCTTGCACGGTAGCGGAGCCTGCCTACGGGCGGGCGTGAGACCAGGGACCTACAGCCTCCTATTGCCAGAGCCATAGGAGGAACAACATGGCGGAGAAGCAGAAAAGGATAGAGAAGGCGCGAGAAGGAGTTCCCATTTGGGATGGAGATGCCGGAACATATCAGGAGTTTGAAGAGAGCGCTTTGCTGTGGGAGCAATCCATAGCGATGCACAAGCGCTACTTGTGCGGCCCGAGGCTTCTCACAGAGCTGACGGGCACTGCTCGCAGGTTCACTGTGGGCAAGCATCCCGAATGGCTCTCCTTCAATGGAGGCGTGCAGCGGCTTCTGACGTACCTGAGGTCAAACTTGGGCCTTCCACAGATGCCTGAACTGACGGATCATTTGAGCCGTTACTTCCGGCAGTCCAGGCGCAAGAAGGGGGAGACCATGAATGAGTACGTCACTAGGAAGTCAGAACTGTATGCAAGAGCTAGGCAAGGACTTCACAGGGTGATGTCTCACTATGAGAAAAAGAAGCCAGCGTGGGAGAAGAGCTACGGCGGCTATAGCCGTCCGGGGTCCACCGACCCTTGGGCCAACGACAGGAGGACACCCTCCATGGCTGGCAGTCAGAACCTGAGTGCTGAGGAGATTCAGGATGATCGGGAAGCGCTTGCTCGACCTGATGATCAAGCTGAGGCCACCGAGGATGCAACTGAGGAGCGAAGCTCCACTGGTCCAGGTCCTTCAGGAGACTCCTGGAGTTATCCGGACTGGTGGTCAAATGACTGGTGGAGTACCTCTTGGACACCTTCCGAGAATGCCGACTGGAATGTGGAAGCCCCTGAACTACTACCAGAGTATGTCCAGGGCTGGTACCTCTTGTTTGATTCTGGCCTGGACACCAACGAGCGCAACATGGTCGTGGCAGCCCTGAAGGGCGACTTCACTATGACCCGAATGGCACAGGAGCTACGCAGCCAGTGGACTGATGAGGACTTGCGTCGTCGAGATGCAGCCAATCGTCACTCCAGCTGGTGGGTGGATGAGAATGAAGAGGTCGAGTCTGAGGACTATGACACTGCCTGGGTTGCCCAGGCTCACCGCAACTTCAATGACGAGGGCCTCGCACTCCTGGGTGAAGCTGAAGATGTGGCTCAAGAAGCCCTAGCCATGATGGAGCGCGGGCGTCGTACCTTGAAAGAGGCCAGACAGAAACAACATCAGGTGAGGATGTCCCGGAAGTACTACCGCACCAACTTCAAGCCCTCTGGAAGCACTTCGGCTGTAGCTTCTGGCACAGATCAAAAGTGCTTCCGATGTGGTGGTCCTCACAAGACTTCATCATGTCCAAAGGCAATGGCAACAACGACAGCCTCTTCAGCCGAAGAGCAGGCTGCACCTTTCATCTGTTTTGCACAAGACCAGATCACCAAGGACCATGAGATTGTGGAGCCCTATGTCCCGGACGACCACGAGGTGAACTACCTGGATGCTGGGTTCTCCGATGCTTGCCCAGAGGCCTTTTTTGATGTTGCCGACACCAGCAGCATAGGGCCTATCTCCACTCAGATGGCCGTCGAGCAAGGCAAGGCTGTCGTTGATGGAGGGGCTACAAAGACCCTTGGCAGCGTGGTGGCCCTCGAGAAGATCATTGCCCTCAACAAGTACAAGCATGGGACTTCTCGCCTGGCCGACCTTGACTTGGAGAACAAGCCTACGTTTGGTTTTGGAAATTCATCAAAGAACCAGTGCGTGTCCACAGCCTCACTCGAGGTTCAAGCCGATGGCAAACCTGGACAAGTACAAGTACATGCGTTGGATGCGGGAGCAGGACCTGTGCTGTTCTCCATTGAGTCCTTACGGGCCTTGGGAGCAATCATCGACTTCTCCGAGGACATGGTCGTCTTCCGCAAGATCAACCCGTCCAAGATCATCAAGATGGAACGTTCGGCCACTGGCCATCAGCTGCTGCCCATGACTCAGGATTGGTACAGTGATGCTCAGAGCACTGCACAGCCAGTGCCGAGCCTGAATGCTTTCCTGTAGGGACAACTCCTTTCTTTCCGTGCGCCTGAGATGGAAAGGAAGGTCAGTAGCGATGTTTCAGGCACTTTTCACAACCCCTTGAACATGGTTGGTGATCCGAGCATTCATGATGATGTTGGGTGTGTTGTTCATGACCATGTGGTTGTTGATGATGAAAAACTTTCCCAGGGTTTCCATGGACATGTTGGAAAAATCTCAGACAGCAGTCAGTGTACAGAGCCAGAACAACCTCATCCTGCAGCTCTCCAGCACAAGCTAGACGAGATCCCCAACGAGTCAGTGAACAAGAGACATGCCTCGTGCCACCAGAAAGGAACTGGTGGAAGAGCTCCTGATGACCTTTGGCGAAACAGCTCCAAAACAGTGGAGCATCATGGAGATCGAGAGCCGCCTTTTGGAACTCAAGGAAGCCAACGGGATGATCACTCAAAAAGGGAAGGTACGGCCACCGATGCGCCATGCCATGATCGAGCTGAACAAGGCCAGCAAGAAGAAGTCCGACCTTGTGGACTACGTGAACAACAAGCTCATGGTGAAGACCCGCGGCACCGAGACCATTCAGGAGCTGCAG